GTTGTGCAACAGCCAAAGAGGAATGCAACAGCCTGATGTGGTTAAAGTGAAGGCATGCCTAGGTATGAACAGACACCCTACAACTACACTACTCGGCTGCGATGCTTCAATGTGATGCGATGCACGAGGTGCCAAACCTTGTTCAAAGTCCCCTAAAGGACCATCTCTCATGGCGGATACTCTCCACCGAAAAACCGCAGGCCATGGGGGAGGCAGAAAGTGAGAAGTTACCAAGTAAATAGTCACCTACCTGGTATGCGATACGATACGGCGCAGGCATCCTCTTTCCTTTTGCCGAAGTTTCATGTTCCCTGCGCACGCATTTCATCTCATCAAACTCGGAGGAGGGAGAAAAAAAAAAAAGACATTTTTCGGTTTCTATTTTCGCATCTCTCCTCCACTCCCGTCTCCACCTTTCTCGAAACACAAGATCTGCCGCAGGCCCGCTCGACACAGATGCCATCTGCTTTAACTTTTCCAAACCCGCCTTTTGCTGAACTTCAGCGCCTTCAGCTCCCATTTCTCGTCCGGCATCTTCCAAGTTCCGCCCCCTACAAGCAGCAGCTGCATGCTGCACCCATCCCTCCCCGCAGGGGTTGGGCAGTGAGCCGAGTGTCTCTTGCGGAAGCGTACCCGTGTCTTTCTGTCGAATGTCGCCCCGTCTCTTGAGATGAAAATTGCAGTGTATCCGGGACTGCTCTCCAAAGTAAAAGCAGATACCTTACGTGCGGGAGAATAGGGGTGAGGCATGTTCATGTTCCTGACCACCCGCACCCGCACACCCGCACCCGCACACCCGCACCTTGCACCCGCAACACGGCAACAATTGCCCTGCAGAAAGGGGCGTGCGGTTTGCGGCGTGTTAGCCGTGCCGATGTCGACCTGTCCCTACCTTACCTCTCGTGCTTGCCTTTCCTTCCACCTGATGGCAAGGTATGGAACCGATGCTATTCGTACCTTCTTTGGCCCTATCGCGGTACCGACACTAGCGCGTCCCTTCCTCCCTTCCCTCCCCTACCTTACCTACCTAGTCAATTAGTGAAGGAACCTTACCCCCGCTAAGGTAGACCTTACTTTTCTCAGTCAGTGATGAGAAGGAGATGCAGTAGCACACTGCACACCCTCTCCTGCTTGCTTTCCATACCTGACCAAACCAAAACATGGCATTCTGGTAGATGCCCATCTTCACCCGCCGGGAAATACCATCATCGTCAGGAGGCCCGACATCACCACACGCACTCACACACACTGGCTACTCACACACTCACACACTCTCACGGAACGGACGCCAGCCGTCCTGCACTGCCTCCTCTCCTTCGTCGTTGCACCCTCACTATCATTCTCCCTCGTTTACGTCTACCCCTCCAAGAGTTTTGCGTTTTTGACAGATGCTACTCAAACACGACCACGAGATGCGCACACACCCCCTTTCATTGAACCAGTCAGTCTCTGAGGAGGAGATTCCCTCCCTCATGTTGCATCCTCGTTGTCCAATCCGCACCTGTCAAAGTCTCGACACTTGACTCCTCCGTTCTCTTGCAAGTCGCGACCCCCGAGTCAAACGCAACGCTCCCCGGCGTCCGAGGGCGGCTTGCGGGCACACACTCGCAAACAAACCGCTGTCGCTGCTGCCGCTGTGACCGCCCAGGGCACCTGTGGCCCGCTGAACTGGACCTCTGCACCTTACCCATCACTGGCTGATGTGCCCCCGGCCGACAGCTGGGTATTGGCATCCTCCACCACCACTCATTCGCATCAGATAACACAGCATCCCAGCACACAGCAGCAACACGCGCACACACACTCTCTCTCTCGATCCTTGTTCCTGAAAGGCCTCACCCTCCGTCCACCACCACAGCTTCGGCCCTGGTTTCTCTCGACGGCCCAATCCTGCGCATGCCATCCCTAACACTTGCTGCGATACGCCGTACTGCACCACCACACCCACCCGCCCTGCCCTGCCCTGGCTTGCAGCTGTTGCATCCGCATCTGCGCCGCAACCATCAACCACAAAGTCCGTCTCAGTGGCACATAGACCAGGGCACCTACAGATACCATCACCGAAAAGACCCTGAAAGCCATCGTCGCGACCCCTCACTCGCCACCACAAAACTGCCGGACTGCTACCCATCGGACAGCCATTCTGCACCCACATTCGTCGTCAAGCCCTTCAAGGGCTGACAGGCAGCTATTCAGAACACACCAACCATCGTGCCCAATCGCCGAGCCCTATCGTGCGCCAACAGAGCGAACGACCTCCTCCCGCCCCCGGTCCTTGTCAGTCCCCGCGGCGCCGGCCCCTTCACCGCTCAAATCAGACAACGGGCCCGTAGCCGGCATTGCGCAAACGGACGGGGACAAGCCATCAAGGTTCTTTGCCGTTGGCCCTGTCAGAGAGTGTTTTCGTACCGGACCCTGACGAACCACGTCGTCGCCCACACGCTATCCTCACCTCTCTCGCCTCTGTTCGTGAATCGCCACCACGTCCCGTGCGACATTTTCAAGAAAGATGGCTAGCCAACCTTGTTCACCACCACCAAGCCACCTATTGGCTGCACGACAAGAGGGGATCCCTCAGCCAAGTTAGCTGGCATCATCATCATCATCATCATCATCACCACCACCTCAAACCTGATGAACCCAAGTAGCACAGGAATGTAGACTCAACTTGAAGCAGTTTGTCCTGGCTCCAGCCGGGGGCAGTGGAGGGGCCTCGGAACCCTTGGCCGAGATGAGATCAATATAGCCTCGACAAACGGAGGGACACCCAATCAGGAAGGCCCGTAAACAAACGTCACATGTTCGGCCCGCGGGTGTCTGCTACACCATGCAAATGAAGGCCCTGAGCAGCGACACGAGATCCAACAGCGTTTCCAATCAATAGCCAATGGGCTGCAGCTGCGTGCAGTGAAGAGATTCAGGCCCACGGCTGCTGGCGAAAGGGCCGAACAGCCTCGGACGCGAGGTGCTCGGGTCCGTCGTTCGAGAGGCGCATCGTAGGATGCTTGGCTTTGGTAGACATGATTATGCCGTTGTTTGTGATTTGGCAAGTGACACTGCTCTGGCCACAGGCTCCTTGTTCTTTGGAGGCTCGATGGCGACGGTTTCGCTACGCATTGCTTGCCGTGATTCGGGCAACATGGCCTGACTTCTCGCGCTCTAGAAACACCATGTAGTTGCCCTCATCCGCTGCCTTCGTATCACCACCTCACGATGATGTAGACAAGCGGAGGCTCCGACCCAACAACCGCCCTGCGAGCGGCCAGAAACAACAACACAATCACAAACCAGACCGTACACCCACCATCATTGTGGCATTGGACCGTATCCAGCTAGCAATGTCTCAATGTGCAAGAACGCCTCACCAAGATCTCAACGCCCTCAGGAAAACTCAAACCCTAAAGTGACATTCGGTCTTCCCTTCAGTGGGCTTGTCACCACCACTACCATCGCCGGTCAAGGTCCAACCCAGTGACATGCCTGTCTCGCAATGCCATCCCACACGACGATTTCAAATCATGGGTGAATGAGGCTTGCTTCGAAGACGATCCGAAGCGAGATCCGATGTCTCGAGAACCACAACAGCCGTTCTCGGTGTTAAACATGGCGTGAGAGAGAGCAAACGTCTTTTTTTTTTTTTTTTTTTTTTTTTTTTTGGTCCAGTCGCCGGTTCAGTGCAAGCGTACTCGCTGCCATTGCTAGCCGCGATCTCGAGGTCGGGAGATCGGAGTGCCCACGCGAGATAGATCTCGGTCCGTCTCTGTGTGTGTCGGTCTCGGCTCTCGAAGCCTTGCGCTGTCCTGCTTCCGGTCGAATGCCACCATCACACACTCGGGGCCACGCGGTACCATGGGCCCCGACTCTCTGTCGACCGCAAACAAGGCGGCGGTCGAGAAAGAGCCAGAGACAGAGATAGGCAGGAGGGGGGGCGTTGAAACGGGAATACCAGGAGGAGTGAGTTGTGAGAGGGGAAAAACAAGAGACGGGTGATGATGATCATCATCGAGGATCGCGCCAGCTCACTCATGCGACAAGAACCCACGCAAGCAGCCACCACGATGATGGTGCATGACGACAAAATCTCAACGTCGCACAAGGCGCCGCGCGCAAGGCGAGACATAAGGCGAACCTGGACGGGGTCTAAGACATTTGTCAGGGGCAGGGAGGGAAACGGCTACTTGATCGTGTTGCACAGACACGGAGCGAGAACGGGATAGTGGTGGTGGTGGTGTGCACGAGAATGAGACACAGCCATCATGTTTGGACAACTTTTCCTTTGGATTCAGGATATTAAGCTACGTGGACGAGCGTGTCGTCGAAAGGCTGATGCTACCTATCGCGAGCCTCTTCCGAGCCGAGTCGAATGCAGCTCAGGTCGGGAGACTTCGAAAACAAGACTTCCAATCCCCCATTCCTTTCTAATCCCAAAGGCAGCCCTCTAGCTGAAGAATTCCATTCCCTCTTCCGTCCTCGGGAACTCCGTTTTTTTCCCATGCCTCGATATCCGAGACCATAAGTACCAAAAGAAAATAGAAGACGGTTGTCGCGTCCAAGTGATTGTTTTTGTATAGTACGCATGCCGGCCTTGATATCAAAGCTGCATCGACTGCATTGTACATGTTCCGCGAAGAACATAATTCGAGTGTGTCCGAGAAAAGAAAGCGACTTGGCGCGCATAGTGGTATAATAAACATGTAGACATTAAACAAAGGTCGTCAGGTCGTGAAGAATCGAATGCAACGAGAAAACGAGGCGATCCACAAGGCTCACTTACAGATCGTGCACGGGACGGGCCCAGCCGATCGGTTGAGACTGCTCGAGACAGCAGTCACTGAAGTGTTGTTGTGTGTCGTCGGATGAGGGTGTGAAGCCGAAGCCGTCTTCATCCCTCGATGAAAGATGTCGAATCGCGATGATATCCTTTTCCCACGCCATGCCAGTCCAAACGCCGGAAAGGAAACCCTGGTGAAACCCCGAAACCGGAACGCTTCTCACACATGCTATACGTGCGGTGCGCCTGGACGGCCTTTGCCAAGCGACTCGAGAAGCTCGTGGGGTGGGATCTTGCGCATGCCGCCGCCCCGATCGTACATCGACGTAGGTGCAGGCGTGTAACCCTCCCGCTTCTTACGCAGACGGTCGAGCGCCATTCCAGCAATGACCATGAGGAAGATGAGAGCAAGGGAGATACCGAGTCCGATGAGGACGACGAAGCCTAGAGCTAGGTGGCCAGCTACGACATAGTCAGCATTGTTTCAGAGTCAGTGTCATAGAGAATTAGCTTACCTTTGTCGGTGAAGAAGTCCTCGTTCTCGGTGAAGATCCTTGCAATCGATCCAGCAGTGTTTCCGTTGTGGATGGTGAGGGCGAATGGCTTGAACGCTGTACCGTTGAAAGTCACCGCCGACGCCGTACCGTATCCAGGAACGCCAATGGATCCCGTGATCATCAGCACTTGGTTTGAGTCCAGAATGCTGGTGCTATCGTGGTTCTCGGTCAGGGAGAAGACCTGGAGGCTGTTGACGACGGTACCGGGGTCGAGGGTTACTCCGGCGGCGTGCCAGGTAGAGCCGTCGTACTTCATCAGGTAGATGGAACCGTTCGACGCGGTTCCAGATACCCAAAGCTGGCTGCGGTCGCTGGATCCAGCAGTCAAAGCCTCGACGGGACCAGGGAGTTGGTCTTCTCCGGGGTAACCAGACCATGCTTGACGGTCGGGGCTGTACATGGCGAGCATCGTGGAAGACGTGCCGTTGAGGGTGAAGTTACCACCAGCGACGAGCTGAGACTTGCTTGTCCAGATGAGGGCGTGACCGGTGCCCTGAAGGTTAACTCCGGGGCGGTTCCATCCCGCAAGGGAGGTGTCGTAGTAGCAAACACCCGGGCAGCCAAGAGCTCCGGCCGACTCGAAGGAGCCAGCGACGTAGACGTCGCCAGAGTCAGGGCGGACCTTGATATCAGTCACCGTACCGTTTCCTCCACTGATGCCAGGGGGCTGCGTGCTGTTGAAGGAAGCCGTTTGGAGGTTGACGGAGATGATGCCGCGGACGGCAGCATTGTTGACGGTGCCATGAACGTCTCCGCCAGCAAACAGCATGTCACCAGTGACGGCCAGGGCAATGAAGGTCGAGTTATCCTGGATCTGAGAGCCGAGGCCACTGATGGTATTAGAGTTGGAACCATCGATGAGAACAAGGTTGTTGACAGTGGAGCCATTGGCGCCTTCGGCAGTGAAATGTCCTCCAAGAATGGTAATGTTACGACCATTGTCGGTGTAGAAGGCACCAGTGACCACGCCAGTAATGTTGCCACTGGAAACCGAGTCGCGCTTGCTTACAGAGCTGGTGCTCGTGGCAGAAGACTGGATCTTGATGGGGAACTGACCAAACTTCTCGGACAGAGAAACAGCTCCGTTGGCAGCGATGGTAGCAGAGGTCATTGATCCCGCGTAGATAGATCCTCCACCAGGAAGATCGAGGATACCCGTGGTCAAGATACCGCTGAAGGCCGGGACGGGGCCACTGAGGTTCTGCAGCCAGTTCTTTTGAGAAGGAACCCAGACGGCGAAGCCAGAGACTGTGATGGCCTTGTCATCTCCGAATGCATTGATCTCAGTGAAATCGCCAGTGAACGTGACGACCGACTCAGGCTGGTCCTCACTCGTAATGTTGACAAGCATCGGGACGACATGGTAGACCTTGCCATTAACGCCAGCACCGAGGGCAGTCCAGGTGTTGGCTGAGGTGTCGTAGACGCCGACATTGTTGAGGCCGGTGACCGCATTGTCTTGGGTGTTGGAGAACTGTCCACCGACGTAGAGCTGAGTGCCGTTCAACTTCATGGACATGACCTCTCCGTTGAGGCCACCGTCAAGTGCCATGGTCGCCTCGCTGGCAGTGTTGATACCAATGACATTGCGCGCATCCTTGGACGTGAAGTTGCCGCCAACGATAACCAAGTCACCGGAGGTTGCCAGGCTGGTAACCGCAGATCCTGCAGCAAATGAGGAACCAAGCTGGTTGATCTGGGAGCTCTTAAAATCGGTGTTGACGGTGGCCGACTTGGGGTCAAAGTCAAACAAGCCATTCAGGCCTCCAGTGGAGTTGATCAAAGTGAAGCCAACCCTCTGAGCAACAATGGTCATCTCTTCGAGCGACTGGCCAGCCAAGGGGGTTAAGGTGATGCTGGGTCTGAACCCATCCGCAGTGCTTGCGTCAATGGGTCCGAAGTAGATTTGGTCGTACTTGTCAAAGTTGTTGGTCTGGTAGAGGGAAGTCGTGAACTTGTTTGAGCCGGTAGACGACATGATGCCAGTGATGTTGACTTGGCCTCGGGTCTGGCAAGTTCCATCCTGGATGCAGCCCGGGGTGTACAAGTTGACCGAGTAATTGCCTGACTCCTTCAGATCCGGGAGGAAAGTGACTGAGGCAGAACTGGCTGAAATTGTGCCAGAAAGCTTAGCGGTCAGGTACTGAGAGCTGCTCTGCTGCGACGGCGAGATCGACCACGGTCCGGAAGTGGTGGCCGTAGACTTAGTGTCGCTGTCAGAGCAGGACGGGGCGTTGAAGTCGTTGATGGCATACGAGTTGATGTCATCCTCAAAGAGCTGGATGCCGTTCAAGCCACCGCCAGCGCCGTAGAAGGCAGAGATGTCGATCCTGAATTGGTTCATGCCAACCACGTTGACGAAGTGGAAGTCGGTGTAGGTGACATTCTTGTCGTCGGTGAGAGGGCACTCACTCGTGCAAGAGACGTTCTTGCCACTAGCAGGATCAAGGTAGGTCATGTTAAGAATGCCTCCGAGGGGGAAGGCAGTGAAGCGGAAAGTTTTGGTCCCGCGACCGTCCTGATGGGTATTCCAGAGTCTGAGCTTGGTGGGCTGGAAACCAAAGCCGAAGGTGGCCTGCCAGAAACCCTGCGCGCCATCTTTGAGAAGCCAAGTGTTGCCAGAGCCGTCGGCACCACTCGTCTTGCAGATGATGTTGCGAGGATCGCTGAATCCGGTGGTGGTGGAGCTCTCAGCTGTGGTGATGTTGGCAGTGGAGATATTGATGATTTGGCCATCGGGAGTGCTGGGAGTGCTGGTGTTTCCCAAGCCAGTGAAGCTGCCTCCAAAGACAACATGACCATTGGATGCCTTGGTAATAGAGGTGACGGGACCGTTGAAGCCGGCAAAGGGCAGGTTTGTCCATCCATCGGTGCCGACCCATGCGATAGCGTTTGTTGAGTTAGCAGCGCGGAAGTTACCTCCAACATAGACTGTGTTGGTGGCCTGGTCGCAGAGAAGGGCGTTAACCTGACCTGAAAGACCAGCCAAAGGTGTGATCTCAGTCGTGTTGGGGTTGAACATGGCGACACCCTGCGACTGTGTACCATTCAGGCTCGTGAAATTACCGCCAATTACCACTCCTTGCATCTCTCCGTTTTCGAGCGTGAATGTGCACATGTCGTGAATCGAAGCATCCGAGGAAACAATCGAAGCGAAAGCGCCATTGGGCAGCTGTGCAAGCAGCGACTCGCTGCCGTTAGTGTTGTAAGGCTTCTCATTTTGCTCCTCAAACTGATAGAGGGAGATGCCACTAAAGTCGCCAGCCACACCTATTCTGCCGAGTTGCGAAAGGTCCAGGTTGGCTTCGGGGACTGATGTGAATTGAATCGCAGTTGCCAAAGATGGGGCAAGAGCAGCCATTGCCAGAAGATGCGGGCTGTGGCGACGGCGGCGCGCCGAAGGACGCCTGTCAAGAGGTAAACGCATCGTGGCTGCTGCTCTGTTGTGGTGTTTGGATTTTGCGAATATTCGATATTGAAAGTTTCGGGTCGGGGATTTTTGATGCCGTCGAATTGAATCGTCTTTCGCGTCGCATTTGCAGATGAAGTCTACTTTTTAGGCCCTGGCCATCGCATGAATGAATCTCTTCGATTTTTCGATCGGTCGGGTCGGTTCGCTGAGGCGCGTCAAAAATCGGGGAGCGAAATTAAACGGAAAGTCGTCGAGTCGGAAGGTGAGGATTTGACGAATAATGGAGATAAAAAACGAGCGTGAGGTGTCGGGTTCGAAGAGCGGGGAAAAAAAGAAGATACTCTGTCGCCTGGTTCTGTCGTACAAAAAAATACTGTTAGATCTTGTTTGCTGCCATTTGAGGGCAACGACAAGGTGGTGACGAGCGCTCCTCTTCCCCTTTGCCCTTTGTCTGCGAAGTGTTTGTTGTTTGTTGGCAGTGGTGGAGAGAGGAGAGAGGCTGAGCGCCAGGCAAGATGGAGTTGGAATGGAAGGCATGGGCCCACCTGCACCTGCGCTAGGGAAATTGGTGGTCAAGCTGGGTTGCACCTACCTCCTATCAAAGCACTGACAGTTTTTTGGGGTGGAGGTGCTCGGATGCAGATGCTGCAGCTGCTGGCAATCGCTTAAGCTGGACGTGAAATGAGCCTGAATTTGATGAGAGACAGTATGAACCGTTTTCTCTCTCGAATTTTGGGTTTGGGGTTGGAGGAAAAAGAAACTGTAGCGAATAGGGAACGAGGAAAAAAGAAAAGAGTGACTGGTAGTAGCAACGAGTGAGAGTGAGGGTCTGAGTCCGTTGTCTCGGTGTGGATCCCGGAAGGTGCAAAGGGCGTAAAGTTCGCGCGTGGTAAAGTATTGGCAACGGTGATGTGAGGCGAAGTAGAAGAGAGCTTGTCCTGGGCTTCAAAATGAGTGTACGACCCCGTTGGCCTGGATGGCTGCAGTCGCGACTGTCGTGTGCCGTCGCGTTGTCTCGCTGCCGTGCTGCCGTCTGGAGTGACACGACGTGTCTGTGCAAGTTTGGTAAGGAATCAGGAGGGAAAAAGGCGGCGATCTCTAGAAGCCAGTGACGCCACAGGAGCCAAGGTAAGGGCTTCCCCGAAAGTGATACCTCTGGCCAATTGTCGACCAATGACTGCTGCTGAGAAGGACGACCAGCGCTGTCCACAATCTCAGATTTTGGAATCGCAAGTGCCGGATGTTCCCTGATACAAAGCACTAATCGTCGTTTGATCTTTCTGGATGATTTTGACCACTTTCTTCGTTTCCCTTCTCCAGACTAAAGTTGCGGATGCCGGTTGGTTTATTGCTTTTTCGTGGATTCGGGAGGTACTGGGGCCGAATGTTGAAGATCGACGGATTGACGAAGCGGTTGAATAAGGCGTCTACTAGAATTGAAGTAAAGGGAAAGAGCGAGCCACGATAGCCGTGTGTACGTATGGGCGACTGTGATTGAACGACAATGTCAGACAACGTCCTGATCGCCGATGGTTCGCGGCCCGGTCAGGGGTCAGCCAAGCCAAGCGAAAAATCGACCTACCCGTGGTATTAACGATTGGAATGAGCGACAGAGACGTTCCGCGGCGGGAAGCTCGGGGAATGGGGTCGAGATGTGCGTCGCAGCCGTCGTCGTCGTCGTCGTCGAAGGAAAAGAAAGAGGAGCAGACACGGAAGAGAAAGTCCCTCAGTCACGGTCTATCCTCTGCTCTGCTGGGCCGGCTGGCTGGCTCTGGACCCCCGTCTCCCGTCTGATTCTGGGCGAGGCACTGGAACCACTTTCACCTTCCACCTCGAGCGCTGCAGTCGGCAGGGGTGACTATTTCGATGTGCCGGGGGGCTGGCGTCGTGTATCCCAGGTGCCGTAGGTAGGTAGTATCGGGCAGTGAAAAGAGTGACGAGAAGCTGGAATGAATAAAAATTGAAGCGTTTACTGAATAGGTTCACTGTTTCCTCATCCCGTGTAAATCGGGTATTACGACACGCAGATCACCTCGTGGAACAGGGAAACAGAGGCAGGAACAGAATGCCAATGTTGGAAGCATAAGAATACTTTGGACTTGGGAGACGTTTGGCCGTTAGCTGGCGTTCTCTCCTTCCAGCCTCCCTATTCTGAATCTGGGGCTGATTGACGGCGGCGTGGTCCAGGCCAGACCCGTCGTATCTTAGTGCACGTTCGTCCTGCAGCAAGCTCGCTGCTAATGCAGAGCGGGCAGAGCAGATGACGGGCGGATGGTGGAGATCTTGACGGATAGCCGTTCATAAATCCAGGAGACGGGGCGCTGTGACTGGCTGGTGGCAGACTGTCAGGTCCCACAGCCAGTGTTCGACGAGGGAATGGCTCGCGCTGAGTCCTGACTGGCTCATCTCATCCAGATTCGCCGTAGCGTCAGGTCCCAAATCACTCCTGTACGAGCTTCCCTCGCCCAATCATTCCAGTGCAACCGTCCCAAAATCTGCCCACCGCCCGCCGTCCCTTGCATTAACTGCACATGGTATTCGGACGATGTGCGATGCCTGTGACTGTGCAGACACGACCTGCTGGCGTCTCTCCCATTCGGTTCACTTTTATCCAAGTTCACGTCGCATGGGACACCCTGTGAAGGTTTAAGGGGCCGCCCTTATTTGGAGCGACGACACTTCCGTCAGTGTGATGATCCGGACCCTCGGGCAAAGCGCTGGTGCTCGTCACTCGTCAGTTTTTTTTTTTACAAGAGGCTATTTGATTGCTTGGCGGCCACCGTGAATGCCGCGCTTTAATCGCCATGAGAACCGGGCAAGGGTGTTGGAGGTCTCCGGCATGGATCAAGCCTCCTGCCTGCTCCAGTTCCCTCTGTCGTCCGAGGTGAAGAGGGGCTGACGGCGCCCCGTCTTCAAACCCATTCGGTCTCACAGCCAATTTTGGTGGGGGGTATCCCAGCTACTGCCGTCTATCGCCGTGCATAGTGATTTATCCACGATGCATTGCTTGGTTCATATTCAGTGTCTTTTGCAAAGTTGAGGCATCGTGGACTTCGCCGTAAATGCGAACGACCCTGTTCACTTGTAGCCAGTCTTTCGCTGGGCCAACTTCTCATGACCACGATATGCCTCGAGAGGTTGATACGGATACGGGAGCATGATGCGACGCGAGCCAGGCAACGCGGTTTGCCTGTCCACCTCGCGAAGAATGGGATCGTGGAGAAACCCACATCACGGCAACGGTGGCCCTGCGGATCCGGGTTCGCCGCGTCTCTACGAGCCTGTCGATTGCCACATTGGTTTTCCTCAAACGCATGCTTGTCAATGTGCTTCAATTTTCTAAGAAGCCCAAGGCGACAAAGGTGCACAGCAAACATTTCAAGTTTGGATAGATACCGACGGTTAGGAGACAACTTGCCGACCCATTCTCATTGCAAGTTGCTATTCAGATCAGTGCCATCACTCCGCGTATCCCTCCACTTAATGGACCCTCTTCGCTCAGAATTACGACCTACCTTGCGTTTCCAGGCGGCGCCATGGCTTCTGCACAGCAAGTAACACTGGGTGAGAGCACGCTGCTGGACGCATAAACGAAACAACCCAAATTTGTCCCTGGGACCTGGGGTGTTCGATTGAGAAGACTCGGGACGAGCGATGAACATTCATGTATTGTTCCGGCGGGTTAACCGCCAATTCTTTTTCATCCAAATGTCGTGCATAGTTTTCCCACCTGCGATGGCATGCGGTACTTCAGACGAGAACCCTACCTTGACTCGCACCCTTGGCACTGGCTCGCACTCGGTCGGCTCATCTTTTTGACTCAAACCGACTCACATGGCCACCGGTGTTTCGGCCGCACACAATGCACAGCAATTGTGTGTCTAGGCCGCCGCCGCGCGGGAGCTCCCCATCGGTAGGTATCGGCGCCTAGTGCCTGAGTGGGAACGTCGATCCGGCATCTACGAGAGCCGCGCCCTTAGACTGCCATTGTTCCCAGCCGTTCGGCTCCGTTCTGCATCATCGACGAAAGCTTTCTCCATATCCCGTCTCATAACCATACCTTGGTCCAAATCGGTGATGATTTTCCACCAATCTGATTGGTCACCCTATCAGAGCTGTATGAGAACCCTACCGCCAAGGCAGAACTCGTCTATTCACGTATCACTCTTCGCGAACTCATGGTCATGAATCTTTATATCTTTGCTCGCACTGCACATCCACAGGCTGCTTCCCTTGACTCGACGCAGTATTTTTTTTTTTTTTTTTTTTTTGAATAATTCCATCTTGCATCGCTTGCATTGAGTCTGCGCCTCTACAAATCTGACGCGTCTTCGCAGGTAGGCTCAGAAACGAGTCTTCAGCTGAAATTATGGCACGGGTGTTGAGGTAAATTTCCCAAGTTTTTACGCTCCCTGCACCTTGAAAGTACGGCCGCTCGCCGTCTTCCGCTCCTTCTCTTCGCTGTCTGGGCGTGCACGGCGCAGAACTGTACAGAATTAGCTTCAGAATTGATTGAGGATCTTTTGGTAACGACTCACCTTGGAGGAAGTCTGCTGTCCTCTTGCGCATACGCGAGTGGATGTAGGCCTTGGACGCCTTGATGTGGTAGTGGAAGTAGTCGCGGAAAGTCTGGATGTGAGAAATGACGTCGGGCATTCTCTGAGGAGTGAGGTGACGAGGGAAAAGAACTAAATCTGTTAGCATGAGAGGCTCCTCCCTACCGATGCCACTTACCAAAGGTAACATATCCAATCTCGCCGGTGCCGGTATCCCTGACCCCAGGAACTCCCTGCAGCTCCAGGGGAGGGTCGTTCCTGAAGAGTACTTGAGGAGCGTTCTGGATGGCTCTCCGTCTGGCGTCGACGAACTCCTGGATGAAGATCTTGCCGAAGACGCGATCGGTCTCCTCACGGAATATCGTGCTGAAGATAACGGTAACACGGTCGTGGCTGGCCTTCACGTAAATGGCCTCCTCCTCGCGGTAGTGGATAGCCATAACTTCACCGCCCTCCCGAACGCCTTGGGGAGCCTCCTCAGATGTGTACTTGGATGCCTCCTCCTTCAACTTGTAGTGCTCCTCGTAGGCGGCCTCGAACGGCGCGGCCATAGCGTTGCGCTTGAGCAAGGCCATCTTCATGATCAACGCATCTCGCTCCTCTGCACTTTCAATCAGCCAACTAAACGTCTTCCACATCGGTTTTACTGACCCTTCTCTTCCGGCAGACTCTCAAGATCAATCAAGACCGAGAAATCGTAGCCGGGCTCGGGCGGAACGACGTATTGGCCATATTCCCTCTGCAGCACCTGCTCGGCGCCGTACTTCACCAGGTCCTTGTAGCATCTTATTTGGATAGAAAGCTGAATCTTTGTCTTCGTCTCGGGAGTGGAAATGTGGTAGATGACGCCGTCGAAGTCGGAGACAGTCTGGTCGATGTGAGCGGGAGGGGCACTGCCTTGGAGGTTAGCAGCTATTGCGGTGAAGCTCGTGAAGCCACGCTCTCGTACCCAGAGAACCTCTCAGTCAACACCGACTGGATGAGAACGTTTTGGTAATCTAGGAGAAGCATCTTGTCGACGTCCAATTGCCAGCTTGTCTCCCAAGTTGTGGTTGTGTCGTTGGGAAGCTGATGATACCTCAAGTGGGGTGTGACGTTCGAGCACAGTCGGAGCTAAGGTGGCTGTGATGCTCCAGGAGAAGGTCCGTACGTAATGCCCGTTATGCAGGCAGCATATCGTTATATCAAGTATTGTTTCGTAAAAGAGTCGGCTGCCCCACATCCTTATCGCATCGCGATAACACTTGAAGACTCCAAATTTTAAGAATTTCGATGTTCGAGGAACGTGCCTCTATCGCAAAAGCCTTTGAAGAGCCTGGTGGCGCCAAAAATCCGCAAAAATGGTGAAGTCATACCTGTAGGTCAATCGCAAACTTCTTCGGTGGAATATTGACTGACAGGTCTATCATCACAGAAAGTATGAGCACAGCAAGTCTTTCGGCATTGTCGCATCCAACACCTCGAACCTCGTCTGGAACGCCCAAGGTCGAGCTGGCGCCGGCCAGGCAGTTGTAGCCGCGAATGAGGAGGTTCTGTGCTGGGACATCAAGAAGGGAGAGCTCGTAAGCCGATGGAGGGACGATAGGAACACCGTACCGGTCACTGCGATCGCCCAAAGCAAAGTCGACAAGGACGTTTTCGCCGTCGGATACGAAGATGGCAGCATTCGGCTGTGGGATAGCAAAATCGCGACAGTGATTGTCAACTTCAATGGTCACAAGTCTGCGATCACGACGCTGGCATTCGACAAGTCGGGTGTGCGACTAGCCTCCGGTTCCAAGGATACCGACTTGATCATATGGGATCTCGTGGCTGAGGTTGGCCAGTTCAAGCTCAGGGGACACAAGGACCAGATTACAGGGCTGCAGTTTGTCGAGCCGGAAGCGCAGGTCGAAGATGAGGACAACACCCAGGCTATGGTGCTAGACAGCGACCCGTCAGCCGAGGGCTACCTCCTCACGACCGGCAAGGACTCGCTGATCAAGCTTTGGGACCTGTCTTCGCGACACTGCATCGAAACCCATATTGCGCAAACGAATGGGGAGTGCTGGGCTCTGGGCCTTTCCCCCGACTACAGCGGATGCATCACGGCTGGAAACGACGGAGAGCTGAAGGTGTGGTTCTTGGACACAGCAGGCCTTGCTTCTCTAAAGGGGCAGGTCGACGCGCCGCAATCTGCGAAATTCTTGCACGAAAGGGGAACGCTGTTCCGTCAACACAAGGACAAGGCCATCGAAATCGTCTTCCACCCGCGTCGGGATTACTTTGCCGTTCATGGCACAGAAAAGGCTGTTGAAGTTTGGCGCATAAGGTCGGAGGCAGAGGTCAAGAAGTCGTTGGCGAGAAAGAAGAAGAGGAGACGTGAGAAGGCTGCGAAGGAGGGAAAGACCGAGGAAGATGCCGAGAACGATGACCAGGCGGACGACCTGTCGAGCGCCGAAGCCAGCGACTTCTTCGTCCAGTATGTAATAGTCCGGACGGGCGGCAAGGTGCGGTCGGTGGACTGGGCCGTCACCAGCGGCAGCAAGGAGATCAACCTGCTGGCTGGTACTACCAACAACCAGCTCGAGTACTACAGCATACCAACAAAAGACGCCTCCAAATCGAAGAAGGACGAGCTGCCTGACTACACGAGATCTCTGGCGGTCGATCTCCCGGGACATAGGACAGATATCCGCGCGGTATCGCTGAGTTCCGACGACAAAATGCTGGCGACGGCTGCCAACGGTGGTCTGAAAATCTGGAACATCAAGACTCAGACTTGTATTCGAACATTTGAGTGCGGCTATGCTTTGTGCTGCGCATTCTTGCCCGGTGACAAGGTCGTGGTTGTTGGCACCAAGACTGGAGAACTTGAGCTCTTTGACGTCGCTTCCGCAAGCCTGTTGGACAGCGTCACCGCACACGAGGGAGCTATCTGGTCATTACAAGTGCATCCGGATGGTAAATCTGTAGTGTCTGGTAGCGCCGACAAGTCTGCCAAGTTCTGGGACTTCCGAATCATTCAAGAAGAAGTCCTGGGCACCACACGTACCGTACCAAAACTGAAGCTCGTACAATCGAGGACACTTAAAGTTGCGGACGACATCCTCTGCGTGCGCTACTCCCCCGACGGAAAGTACATTGCCGTCTCCCTTCTCGACAACACTGTAAAGGTGTTCTTCACCGATAGCTTGAAGCTCTACCTCAACCTTTATGGCCACAAGCTCCCGGTCCTCAGCATGGATATCTCCTACGACAGCAAGCTCATTGTCACCAGCTCCGCCGACAAGAACATCAGGATATGGGGTCTTGACTTTGGTGACTGTCACAAGGCCCTCTTCGGTCACCAAGACAGTATCCTGCAGGTTGCCTTCGTGCCGCACAACTCGGACGGCAATGGCCACCACTTCTTCAGCAGCAGCAAGGACCGCTGCATCAAGTACTGGGACGGCGACAAGTTCGAGCAGATCCAGCGCCTAGACGGCCATCACGGCGAGGTCTGGGCCATGGCCGTAGGCCACAGTGGCCAGTTCCTCGTCACCGCCGGTCACGACAAGTCCATCCGCGTCTGGGACGAGACGGACGAGCAAATTTTCCTCGAGGAAGAGCGCGAGAAGGAGATTGAAGAGCTCTACGAAAAGACGCTCACCACCTCCCTCGAGCGCGACCCAGACGCCGAGGACCAAGACGGCGAAGTCGGTGCCGCCACCAAGCAGACCGTCGAGACCCTCATGGCCGGTGAGCGCATCGCCGAGGCCCTCGAGATCGGTATCGCGGACTTGAACCTGCTCAAGGAGTACGAGGACGCCAAGAAGACGAACCCGCACGCCCCTCCCCCGCAGCGCAACCCCATCTTCATCGCCCTCGGCAACATCACCGCCGAGGCATACGTCATGAGCGTGCTGAACCGCATCAAGGCATCTGCCCTCCATGATGCGCTGCTCGTCCTCCCCTTCTCGACCGTGCCGATGCTCTTCACCTTCCTCAACGTTTTTGCCCAGCGCTCCATGAACATCCCCCTGACGTGCCGCATCCTCTTCTTCATGCTCAAGACGCACCACCGCCAGATCGTGGCCAGCCGCACCATGCGCACGATGCTCGACGGCATCCGCGCCAACCTGCGCGCCGCGCTGAAGCGCCAAAAGGATGAGATGGGTTTCAACATTGCCGCGCTCAAGGTTGTCGGCATGCAGATCCAGGAGAAGAGCGTCAAGGACTACGTCGACGAGAACTGGGACGATGGCGACGAAAGCCGGTCCATCAAGAAGAGGGCGTTTGTGCAGGTTTCGTAATCAGTAGCAAAGGGTATAAACTGGAGCTCAAAACAAAAAGCGGCGAGAGGTTGGATGGTGTTGATATAATCATGAGATTCCCTGTTTTCTATCGGCTCCCCTTAGATATTTGCATCGCCAGGTGGTGGGCAGCATTGCACCGGTCTTGTTAAAAAAGTGTCTTCATATGTTATTCGCTGAACCTTCTTTTGATGCTTGCGGCTTTGTAACCTTCGCCCGTATCGATACACAGACTCTTGACGTAGAATCTCCAATATGTACACAGCCATTGCTAGCTAACCGCCCCATCTACTGGCTCTTCGCCTTGGATTTTGTGTTACCCCTTGTCAAAATGTCGCTCTGCGCTACCAACTGACCCAAACACCAAAGATAGCAGATGCCGAAGCCCACCGCACCCAAGCCGACATTTGCAACAACCCAAAGGTCGGGTTTGTCGATAGGCGGCGGGACTGTGGCTTCCACCACATGCCAAGCAGCCATGGCAATATAGAAACCACCGTGCAGAAGGAAAGTGGCCCATTTTCGCAAGGCGGAGTGGTCCTCCTGGAAGTAGGCGCTCAACGATGTTGGAGGCAGTCCGAGGAGGAAGGCCCAAAGCAAAGTAAGGACTGCATAAGGGACGCTGAGGTCCACCCGCTTAAGGAGGGGGAACATTGTCCAAACGCCCAGGATGTTGGCGAATCCAACCCACGCCCTCACATCGCGCGAGAGTCCCTGCTTGCCGGCCAAGAGGAGGGTCATGGGCATCAGGGGAAGCAGAACGCTCTTCTCGTGAACCTGGAAGCTGAAGAGGAAGAAGCCCCACGCCGTTGTCGCAAAAGCAAGAGGCAAAAGCGACTTGCGCGGGCGAAAGAAGAGGACCAGGTTCGGCGGGATGATGGATGCGGTGGTCACTAGAAGAGCACCGCGCTGAAGAAGCTCGGAGGGGTACTTTCGGAGCTTGACGACAACGTTGAGAGCGCACCAGAAGTTGGCGACCTTGTCTTCAAAGAGGCCGCGCGCAAAAGGGAAAATGCGGTGGACCATCTGCACAAGCTGCTCGACAACCGGGTAGTAGACGGCGTTCGTGTCCAGAATGTCGGTCAGCCAGGGGAACAAAGGAAGGGTAGGAGGCGGTCCGTCGTAGTCGGGTCGCGCATCAATACCTCGGCGCGCATCGTAGAGTGTGCCCAGGACCAGAGGCGCAATCAGAATGGCAAAGGCCGCAACAGTCACCAGCGCAATGCCGATGAAGCGACCCGGCTTCAGAGGGAAGACACAGCTTCCCAGAAGGAAAGAGAAGACGGAGAAAGCGTAGTAGAGAGCCATCTGCTTGAAGCCGAGCGCCGCGACAAAGAAGACTGCTGACCAGAGATAACGGCCAGCCAGCATACTCGACATGCTTGCGAGGACGAAGCCGAGCATGACGGTGTTGTATTGAAAGTGAACATGGTCAATGAGTATGGTGCCTGGCTGCAACAAGATTGCGACTAGGGCCATCCATGCAGTCCACGTAGGCACGCCACTGTGTCTGGAGAAGCGACGGACGAAGATGACAGCGGCGGGGATGTAGATGAGATATTCGGAGACGATGACGGTGGCGCGCATGAAGATCTTGAGCGTCGGGTCGTCCGATCCACGCGAGTTGTACAGCTCGAACCAGGAGGGATCGATGAGGGCGCCAACTTTGCCGCAGAGCCAGCCGTGGTATGCCGTCAGGGGCGGGTAGTCGAGACCCCACCATTGGAGGTCATGGAAGTACCACTGCGAAACGGGAATTTGCGTCGTGATCTCCATCCAGTGTCTTTGCGCTTCGTAGTCTCCGAACATGGGCGGCTTCTGGAAGCCTGTGAGAAGCAGAGTTGTCAGCAGTTGCCGCGAAAGTCGAGGGGACCGATCAGGGCGCACTTACCAGAGTATCCCCAGAGGCCAGCGGCCCATCTGAAAAGGCCAACGACCATGAGAATCAAGGGCAGGACCTCCCATTGTGACACGGAGCCTCGAGCAGGCCACAGGAATGAGGCCAATGGGAAGACGGGGACCTTGACCAGAGCTTCCTTCTTAGAGAGCTGGTTGTCGACCGCAGGACTCAAGCTGCTTCCTCCGCTGATTCCAGTACCCTTCTTTCCCGCCCTGCGCCGAGGCTTATGGGGCGATGGACTGCTCATGATTGCAGCTCAGTCTGAAATGTCTAGTGGATTCGTGTGGTGCGGCATCAGCTGCCGTGGGTGGTGGTAGAGTTCGCCGGGAGCTGTTGACTTGGCTGTTGAACTCCAGGTGACAGTCCCGAGTTGAAATTCAAGGGTCCACGTCGCGTTAACGACAGCTCACTGCAGTGTGGTGTGGTGTGTGGTGCTGGCCATTGTGTGGAGCTGCACCAAGCTGAAAGGTCCCCACATCCCGGCCGCTAAGGAAAGCACAGAGCCAGCCCGGTACCTACCCAGCACCTTTATCATCTGCCACCTGCCGCGTTCTTAGACCCAAAAGAAGCCTCTTGTTTAGAATCTAACTCAGTTGCTGGGGCTCTCATTCGTCTGGTTCCTAGGATGTAGACCCCACAACTAACTGATGCTTTTCAAGGCGGAATTATCTTTTTCCCCATTTTCGGTGGAAGGTCCAGACACCTGAATTCTTCGAAGCTTTCTTCCTTGGGCAGTTGAGGCAACACTGCCATTGCGCAAGTCCTTAAAGTTTCAGTCTTGTTCATCCCACCGGCATTCATAGTCGAAGACAGCCTCGAAGATTCAATCAATTGTTGTCGGATTAGCTGTCGGTGGTACAGTTTGCTTCACCAGGGGCGAGCGAGGAACCTAAAGTTGATGGCTGCTTTCCCCTGTTGATGGCTGTCGGCCACGTGACTTTGTCTGGGGTTGACACGACTAGCCCCAATTGGCTGATCCGGGACGGCCAACGTCACAGGCAGTGCAGTCAGGTCTCAGGCACTGACTGGCAACTTCAATGCTTGTAACTTCAGGTAGCTCAATGATCAACGGCGAATCGCGCCCCTCTCATCGAATCTGACCTCCTTCCCTCTACCTCTTGCCGAATCAACGCCGACTCTTCAATTATGCCTTTTCCTTTTGTTCTCCCTACCACGTCGGCTTTCTCATTCTCCTCGAGCTTCACCAGCGATACCCATCCCTCATTGCCCCTCAGCGCTAGTACGTATCGCGGGGTCGTGAGAGATGCTCTGAAGAAACACAAGCGTCTCTCACCTCCTTCGCAGTCATCCCACATATCCACTGTTATCGGGGCCCTCAATGGCTACGTTCCGTACATATTAGCCGTCGATGCCGGCCTCAACCCGAACGCTCAGTTTGGAGAAAGCATCAGCCTCAGGGCTACCTCACCACCGACGATCGAATGGCGTCCGACGCTCTCGGAAAATGCAGTCCCCGGGAGAGAACGCTCCAGGGTAAAGGTTCAGTCTGTGGACTATGAGATTGCTTTCACCTTGTCAAGCTTGGCCAACGCATACACCTTGGTTGCTCGGGCTGCCCTTCACCCGCTATTTGTGACGACACAGGCCACCTTGGATGCCCAGCAGCGAACAGCTGCAATCCAAACGGCAACTAAGTATCTCCTGGATGCCGCATCGATATACGACTGGCTGGCCATCAGGGCAGAGAGAGTGCAAACGGCACCACCTTGCAGCGATGTTTCGCCGTCAACCCTCCGCGCAATGTCCTCGCTCGCGCTCGCCGAAGCAACACTCCTCGCAGTCTTGAAAGACGACCCTTACCCAGCCATTGTTTCTCAGGACCGCAACAAGAATGACCGCGAGTGGATGTACAAAGCTCCCGATATTCCCAAGGTCCGCGCCCACCTCTTCGCCCGCCTGTGCCTTGCTGCCGCAGAGCACGCTGCCCAGGCATCCTCACTTTGCCAAGCCGCAGGCCGAGGATCCAGCAAGATCAACGAGGGTCTCCTGCGATATCTCGAAGATCTTCGGCGGACTTGCCGTGCTAAAGCATGTCGGTTCTTTGGTATTGATGCTGAGATCGGCGGCGAGGTTGGGAAGGCCATCGCTTGGCTACAGGCCGGCCTGCAGGAGCTCGGTATCGAGTCCAAGTACTCAGCTAAAGGATCCGGCTTCAGTCGCTTCAAGAAGGAGTGGACCGAGAAGCGCGAGGAGCGGAAAGTGGAGAAGGAAACAGCCTGGGGGGCGGACGGCGGTAAGGTCGAGGAAACGAGAGTGGTTGAGTTCCTTGAGGTCAAGTGGCAGAAGCTTAACGATACGGTCAGTTGTCCTCATTTTCGTCGCTTGTTCAAGATGTTCTAATATGCTGTTTTTAGATGAACGTCCAGATCATTCCGCCGGTCGGGCCCTTGCTGGCTCAGATGCCGTCTGGCCGAGAGATTCATGCCCTCAAGCCATATCAGCCTCCAACGCTGGACCCAAGTATCCTGGACGCCATGCGCGCACCGCCAGAGAGGAAAGACGACTATGGAGATGCTTTGAGCTCGGACGATGAGGCAAAAGGTCACGCAGGTCCCCCAGGGGCTTTTCCTGAGTCAAGACCAGATTACAGAAGTGCGAGCACGTCGTCCTACTACTAAATGCACTAGGTGCGTGTGTTCGGTTGTTTTAGGATTGTTAGAGAAGATCACGGCGATGGCACATATCTGGAAGGTTTTGATGAAAATACAACCTTGCTTTTCGGTTTCGTTCACCTACTTCTCAGAATCCAAACGTTCTAGCCATGACTGCCAACATCTTCTCTTCGGACGGGGATGTCCCGGGGCACCTCCGTCATCCGATTCAACCTTTACACACGAACGGTTTCCTTTCTGAGCATTGAACGTGCAGAACTTTGGCAGCCTCCAGTTCGCCGTGCTCGGATGAAACCCGGCGTTCTCCGCACCGGCCGCCCGGATGATCAACATCCTGATAAAGTCTGTACCTGTCACGGAGACCAGTGCCTTGGACTGCAAAGACCGGGGCGGCCCGTTACGGTGTCGGAAGGCGGATGAAGACGTAAAGGAGAGAGGGAAGAAGGATGATCTGGGAGCTTGGGCCTACATGTCAGGGGCAATGCCAAAGTGACTTTTTGCACCACCAACACATCAAGCTTCAGATGACGCCCTAGGGGCAGAGCTTAAAACATGTGAGCTCTCAGCTCCTTGTTCTCATTCGACCTCGGATTTTCTCCCCGAAGGTTCCCGCATAGTAATCGGGCATCGATGAAACGGGGTGAGGAGAGGGGAGATTTTCTCTTCCACGCACTACGCGGCCTTCATCAGGTCGTCATATTGCTGCCGCCCTTCCTCGTGGTGTTGCAATTTCCAATTCCTCCGCCTCTTTTGCTCACCATAGCACAGGTTTCCCCGCCTTCCCTGTCGCGCAAAAGGGGACCGGTCCGATGCGGAGGCTATCAATTATCCAGCCCGGTCGGGAGGACTACGTTCACCGACGCAAGGTTTCCTTCTCGCCGACCATGCTTAGCGCGGTAACATCCCCCGTCACCAGCACCATCACGACATCCAGCAGCACATCCTCCGCCTCGACCACGAAAAGCAACAACCCAAACGATATAAGACACAGTGTCCTTGTCAACGGCCTGCCTCCGCCGTCTCCGTCGCTTCCCCTCCCGTTCAATCTCACCGATAGAGGTCTTCTCAATCGTGACTGCCATGTTCACAACGAGTGGATCGAGTCCCGGAGCAAGAAGCGCTTCGCGATTATAGACCCGGGGACAGGTCGCGTATGGGCTACATGTCCCGACTGCACCAAGGACGATGTCGGCCCAACCGTCAGATCCGCCTTCTCCGGGTTCCAAGGGTTCTCAGCCGATACTTCGAACCACGAACGAGCTCGTCTTCTGACGGCTTGGCATCATCTCATCATCGCCGCCCGCCTCGATCTCGCCACGATTCTCGTCCACGAAACAGGGAAGCCGCTGGCGGAGGCATTGGCCGAAGTTGACTACGGCGCAGGCTTGGTCAGGTGGTTTGCCGGTGAGGCCGACCGCTTTCCGCAAGCTGTTCTTCCAACCTTTCCGACTTCGCCTATATCCCCTCGAACCCCTTGCACCCCTTCTACGCCGGCTACAATTGGCGGTACCCCGACATCAAGCGGTTTCAGAATGAGACGGCCTGCGGTTCTCAAGCAACCTGTTGGTGTCGTTCTCGCACTCGTGCCTTGGAGCTTCCCTCTTGCGCTTGCCCTCCGCAAGTCCGCAGCCGCGCTCGCGGCGGGATGTACTGTCATTATCAAGCCTTCATCTGAGACGCCTCTCACCGCGCTCGCGATAGCATGCCTAGCAAACCGAGCGGGATTTCCTGCCGGCGCTCTCAACGTGATAACGACCAGCTTGGGAAACACACCAGATGTCGCCGAAGCGCTATGTATGCACCCTCTGGTCAAAGCAGTTAGTTTCACAGGCAGCGCGCGTATCGGTAAGCGAGTTGCCACGACATGCACTCGAAATTTGAAGCGTCTGTCGCTCGATCTGGGTGGAAACTGTCCCTTTATCGTTTTCGATGACGCAGACTTGGAGAATACCGCCAAGGAACTGGTGGCACTGAAGTGGCGGCATGCAGGACAGGCATGCATTGCGCCGAACCGATGTTATGTCCAGAGGCGCGTCTATGATTCCTTTTCGGAACTGGTGGTTCAAGAGGCGGAGAAGTTGAAAATAGGTCATGGGATGGAGCGGGAGACGACCTTGGGACCACTGACGACGATCCGTGGTCTGTACAAGGCAGAAGCGTTGTGCAAGGACGCTGAGGAAAAGGGGGCTTTCGTGCTTCTGGGCACTGGAAGGAGAGAGCCCGGGGATGGATACTTCATGTCACCGACCATTTTGGGAAACATGACGGATTCGATGCTCATGTGTCGTGAGGAGATTTTTGCACCGATCCTCGGGCTTTACATATTCGACACTGAGGACGAGGTTGTGAAGAAGGCAAATGACACGCCTGTCGGGCTTGCTGGTTATGTTTTTACGAAGAGCTCTGACCGGCTGACTAGCATGTTTGAACGACTGGACGCGGGGGTTCTCGGAATGGTGAGTTTGTTGCATGTTTGGCTCGAGTCAGCAGCGAACAAGAACTGACTGACATGATCAGAATACTGTCTCTCTCGTGGCGGATTGCCCCGTGCCTGCGGGCAACAACGGGAACGGATACGGATCTGGCTTCAGTTCGGCTACGACGTTGGAAGAGTTTCTTATTACCAAATCAGGCGCAATGCTGATACGTCAGGATTGACACGACTACTATACAAGTACTTGGGTATTTTACTGAGAAGAGGAGAAACGGAGCAAGAGCGTCAAGGAGGCGATGATACTTCCTATGTGCTTATTATGGCAGCTATACAGCTGGAGATTTTGGTAGATCAAAGATGAAGACAAGCATGACGACCAACACCACCAAGGCGGGGCCGTCTTGCAAGAGTCAACTAGCAATACCGACTGGGTTCTCCTCCAAAGCCTCTTCCTCCTCGGTGTACCAGCTTTCAGCTCCATCCCCCAACTCACCGGCCTCCAACTCCTCAACCCAGCGCGACCCGGCCTCCAACTCCGCAGCCTCCATGTCGCCCAGCACCCGCGTCCTCTCTGCGAACACGAGCGTCACCCAGCGCGACTCGGCAGCCTGCCTCCTGACGTTCTGCTTCTTGCTCTCCGCCAGACTTTCCTCATGCCTCTGCTTGATACTATACATGACCTCCTCACGCATGGTCCGCTCCTCTTCGACCTTGAGTTGATACCGATCGAATTCGTCGTTGCGCCACTTGGTCCAAGCCCGCCATCCTTTATCCATCTTCTTGCACAAGTCATGCATCAGTTCCTTGATGCGCTCTTCGCTCGACAGCTGACCTGCGTAAAAGTTCTCCAAGTCCCGCAGGTAGATCTCCTCCGTCATCTTCTCCTCTAGCACGCGGCAGCTGTACTCGCTGGCAAGAGCCTGTTCTTTAACAGCAAGCTTTTGCGTGGCGACTTCAGCGAGAGTGGCGAGTTCCGCTTGCTGCTTCTCCACGAGCTCATCCGTAGCTGTAGACGCCTCGTGGGCAGATATCTGTAGCTCCTTGTCATGCTGGTACCTCACCATCACCTCCTGAACATCGTGTAGCCCGTCGAGCATCTCTCGCAGCTCCTGATACTTGGTCTCGATTTCATGCCTGCGTAGGCTCTCCAAACGCACCCTCTCCTCGAGCTCACGCTGCCTGCGTTCCTCCTCGCGTCTTTCCATCTCCTGCCTTAGCAGTTCCGCCTTCAACGCCTCCTCCCGCTCAAACTCCTCAATTTGTCGCAGAGCATCGCGAAGCTCGGCGTCGGCCTCGGCCTCGCGTTCTATCCTCCGCGCCCTCCTCGTCGCCGCGCCAGCCTTGACCTCGTTCAACTGGTCCATGGTGCATGCGCAGCCCCTCCACTTGACGCCGCAAACATAGCAGAACTGATGCCCACAGCGGCAGGTCATGTGCTGGCACGCCTCACGATGCTCGACAAGGGCCTGGCACTTGGCGCAGTGCTGCCAACCCTCCTCCTCGGCCAATGCATTCGTCAGCGCCATGTCGCGATCCTGTGGGCAGTCCGAGTTCTCGTGCTGCGGACCGCGGCAGATGGTGCAGGTCCAGTGGCCGTTGGAGCACCTAGCGATACGAAGGCCGTTGTTGACGTGGTCCGGCTTGATCCAGAGGCTGCACTCGGGCTGGTTGCAGTATATGCGGTCGCTGACGGGTATCTTCCACTCGGCGGAGCGGTCCTTGTATGTTTTCCCCAGGTCTTTGGAGACGTAGCGGTGGACCGTCCGGAAGGGGATCTCGTTGAGGCAGCATTTGGGAGGCCACTGTTGCTCGTTCTGTATAGCGGCTGCGATAAGGCGCTCGAAACAGTCACGGCAGTAGCTGTGGCAGGTAACTTTTATTACATCTTTGGGGTCGAAGTCATCTAGACATGAAACGCACTCGCTGGTGGCTGTTGTTAGTCCCAGGGCTGATAGGGGAGCTATAGACTTGACTTACACGACAGGGCTTTTTTTGGTCTTGTTCTCGTCAGAAGACCCGAGGCTATTACTGCTCGAGTTTCCTGCAAACTTGAATGGGTTCCTTGTCGAAAGCGGTGCCTCCTTTTCAGTAATCTTTTGTAGCATCCTTGTGAGGGTGAACCGGCTCCTCTTCTTGGGCTTGATTGGGAAGACAATCAACCCGCCACCTGAGCTGCCCTCGCCATTCCCGGGGAGATCGGGGAGCAGCTTGAGTTGTCTGTCACTTTCGTCGACCTCTTCCTTTGAAGGCTCGGGTTCGTCTGGTACCATAATGATGGGAAGGTATGGCTCTTTTCTCTTATCTTCCTTAGCCGCCTCTTCCTCTTCGAGCCTGCTTGTCTCTTCTAGCTGTCGCCTCCGGTTATTTTCGACAATTCTGGCTTCGACATTTTCTATGGAGGTCTGTAAGACTTCAAGCAGGATTCCGTCGGTGATATTTGGGGCTGTTTTGAGGGCGGCTGGGGGTTTGCACTTTTCCAAATCGACGTCATCCACTTCATCGTATGAATCGATGGTTGCCAGTTCGGATTCAGTGTTCGTAGCAGGAACAGGAGGCAGTGCCTTTTCTTTCCCTTTCGCTGCATTGACTGGCTTTCTCTTGACCTCGTAGTCTTGAAGAGTTAGAAACGGGTCGCCGTAAAACCCGGCGTACCTCTCGAGCCGGGCAGGCATAGACGTAGCCGCATCCATCTCGACAACGGTTTCTGTGGCGGTGGACATGGGAAAGTTTCGAGACAGGATGCGAATCCTATAATTTTTTTTTAAATATGGCGATCAAATTCAAAATGAGCAAAAGTCAGTCCACAACGGTGTCCATAGACGGCATCCCGCGTGGGCACAATCAGGCATCGCCATATATAAAGCAAGCCACAAAGTGAGTAAACGCAGAACTCTCTGCTCGGCACCAGCGAATGGGCAATCACGAGACCCGTCCACCAGGCAAGCCGACAGCGGCTCTCCCGAAGGAGCCTCATGACAATGACAAGGCAGTCTACATCTTGTCCAGGGCGGAATCAGCCCCGGCTGGTAGCGGGCGATAGGAATTCGGTCCATAGAACATGGCTCGGCCCAAAAACAGCATTAGTGTTGGTGTGCAACGAGGGGTAAACTACTGATATGCTCGCACCAATCGCCGAGGCAGACTGCATCACGATGGGCGCGAGCTGAGCATGTTGGTGGTGGGGGGAAGGATGAGAACAGCAGCCCGCTTGTGGAACGCTGTTGGAGGTCGGGCAATGGGCAATGTTTGGGGGCGGTGTTCGGGCGTTAGCGCCGGCTGTGCCTCGCTTGTTGCTGGCTTGGTCACCGAATGGAGCGCTCTCGGCAGATGTCACAGTCCTAGGCTAAAACAGCGTCTCACAGGTCTTCTATTTGACAATGAAAGGAAGGCTTTGGATTATACAGATACAGCCCATGTGGATGTTTACGGCGCATATGTAAGTTCAAATACTGATGCTGTTTGGGCCTCAGGGTTGTGCCAACCGTGAGCTGACGGAGTGACTGAAGCTGCAGCGCCACATTGCACGCTCATTCACCAAGGCCACTTCAACCAACAACGCACCCAAAACACCATCGAAACTAATCGGAAAAAGAATTATAAGATCCAAAGAGTCAGTAAATACTCCAAAAAGGCAAAACAATTGCATCCTCGGGGAGTCGAACCCCGGTCCCCAGCTGACACGATTTCTCGAATGGAAGGCTGGGATGATAACCGCTACACTAAGAATGCCGGTTGATGCGAAGGGCAGCGCTAAGACAAATCATGACCCTTAGCCGTAGAGTGGACCCCATCACTACTAGTCCACCTCGTCCACCCAAGCAGGTCACTTATAGGTTTGTTGATATACGTCGTTGCTTTGACTGTTGTTATCTTGAGTATTGTCGTCTTTTCTGCCGTCGTCTCCCTCCTCCTCCTCTGGTTATGAGCAACTTACCGGGAAGGCTGTATGGCCGTTTGAAATCAATATTGGAGTTCTGCAGCTACGGTTTAAAGACCTTGAATTATGGGCATGTAGATGAGTGCCTTTCCCGACTGTCTGGTACTGGATGGGCCGCATTTTCGGCCAACGTGACTTTGACGCCGGGCTGTTGGAAAAAATGGGTCAATCTTAAGCACATAATGGCCCGAATTCGGGCGTGCCGACAGTTGGGTCGCAGGCTACGGCCTCACTTCAACTCATTCCAACCAGAGTGGACGACAAGCGCGCGGTGCGTCCAACACGACCAACCAAACCCGGTTCAATATTACTTTGTCTCATACACTGCTCATGAGCCCATGTATACATTGTAATCTAGATCTTAGACTTCACCTTGCTAAACTCGATCTTGTTGACGCAGGAGCCCACGTTTTCAAGGCCAACCTCGACAACGTCTCCGTCCTTGAGCCACAATTGAGGCTTGCGTCCCATTCCAACACCCTCAGGCCTTGGTATTTTCGTCAGTACCAACAACGCGACAGAGTCATAGGTTCTTCCACTTACGTTCCGGTGAAAATGATATCACCCGGCAGCAGGGTAGTGCCCTGGCTCAGGAAAGAGATTGTCTTCTTGATACCAAAGATCATATCCATAGTGTTGTTGTTCTGCCTACTCGTCAGCCTGAGCCATTTACCTGGTGACTGTGCCGCTTACCTGCACGGTCTCGCCGTTGACCTTGGTGAAGATCTTAAGATTCTGGGGGTCTCCAGCGATCTTGTTGGTGACGATACCAGGACCGAAGGGCGCCCAGCCATCAAAGCCCTTACCCAGAGACCACTGGCCACCGCCACGCTGAATCTGCCAGTCACGATGCGACACGTCGTTACCGACGGAGTAGCCCAGTACGTAGTTGAGCGCCTCATCCTCTGATACGTCAGAGGCAGTCTTGCCAATAACGATGACCAGCTCACACTCATAGTCAAGAGTGCTGCCAGTCTGGGCAATAGGATGCACGGGGATGGGGTCGGTCGGACCGGCCAACGAAGTCACGGGTTTGTACTGGCCAAATCAGCATGCCGTTCTAGCATACTTGAATAAGTAGCAACTTACAAAGAGAACAGGAAATTTAGGAATGGCCATGTTTGACTATGAGATATTAGTTGATGCTGAAAATGGTTCCATATAAATGATGGATGCGTGCTCACCTCCTTGGCGTGGTTAGCATAGTTGAGACCGAGACACCGCACCGTCTTGACGTGCTCAGGGGCCAAAGGAGACAGCAACAAGCGAATGTCGGCGACGTTATCCGTCACATCGTGTCTGCCAAAGATGTCGCCAGTGATGATGCGAGCTTGTCTAGCCTTTGCGATGTCCGAAACGCCTCTGGGCAAAATCGCATCGCCGTAGTAAGTCTTGCCATCGCGGGCCAGGAAGCGAACGAGCCTCTAGGCGTGTGTCAGTGGATACACACTGTTGAGTTGTGATAGAGTGTACTCACAGAAAATGAAGCCATTGTCGATATCAAGTTAAAATAGCTGGTCGCAATTGATGGGTAGACTAGATGATATTGCAATATTCTACGATTTACGAGCAGCAATTGATGTAGGTGTAGGAATGAAGATGCCTCATTCACGAAGACGCCGTAGCAACACCGGGAAGTCTCCGATTCCCAGCCGCTGACCCCACACTTCAACACCCAGCGGGCACGGTCGAACCGCTAAAGACCGGTGCCGCTCGCGCGACAGAGCTCCCCCATCACCACCTCAGCTTCTGCATCAGCTTTTGCGAATTGTTTCTTGGGGTTCTCTTCATCTGCCATATTATTTCCTATGCTTTCATTTTGTCATTCAAGTATTGTAGGAGATTATCACGGGGGAATGCATTCTTTCGACTAGTACTTCCAGACTCGGCATTCGGGTCGTTGCATTCCCCACGAAGAGGACTGAGCTCTCTCGGCTGTTGTTTCGGCATCGCGCGATGACGCCCCGGGACCTGAGCACCTCTTTTGGATAGGTCCCCACAAGTTCGGGGGAGCTCGAGATCGCTGAGTCATCAGAAACCCTCCAATTGAGCACCATGTTATTGGCCCAAGCTAAGAAACGGATCCATTCCTGTAACTGACGTCAACGATTTGATTCGAGCTCTCTTTCCGGGTGCCGTTGATGAAGTAGAAGCAGCGCAACTTCCGTTGTTTCGGTGCAGAGCTAGATCGCCATGGCAGCTGCGAAAAGGGGCCTTTCCGGTCTCCAGAGGGAGGTTCTGGCCCTCTATAGACAGTGTCTACGAGAGGTCCGCAAGAAGCCCGAGGTGAGACTTCTATTTCTCTGGCAAGTTAGCATGTGAGAGCTAAAACATTACTCATAGATTTCGCAACCTCACTTTAGATCTTTGGCCAGGCAAGCCCCGCGACTCTTGCTTTTGAACTCAGAGAATCCTTCTAACCCAATCGCCAGGAACGAATTTGACAAGTTCCTCACGGTAGACAAGCGCGACTTCTCTGTCGTTGAACATTTGCTGAGGAAGGGACGGCGCCAACTCGAAACTTACTCATCACCGAGCATTAAAGATGTCATGAGGTGAGGAAGCTGCTCAGTCGGCATGCATCCTTCTGGCAAAAAAGCGCTGCCCTCCCGCGCGATAAGAGGAAGGCCTCACTCAGTCCCAAGACGCAAGGTTGGGCGCAAGAGACGTCGTCTGTCCCACACTGTACCACTACATGTCTCTCCTACGACTCGTTTTGTTACCTAGAACGCATGATACCACCAACAATTCTTCTTGAAAAACAATTCTGATATCCCAAGTCCATCAAGCATGGACAATGCTTAAGTGCGAAAGAGTCCTTCGAGACTGCAATTGCCTCTCATCCTGCTCCCCGCCCTTTCCCGAACCCGATCCAAGTCTTGCCCATCGAGCAGCAGAAGACGTCTTTCGCAAGCCCATAAGCCCGTCTGTCAAGAGCCTTCGCCGCCAACAACGCATGCTTCTGCGCTCCAAAAGGACAAGTAGAGTTCGACTGCCATCTGGACGCATTTCTGGCCGTCGCACAACCACCATAGTGCCTGTCAGAAGACCCGATCGCTCCCCCGGAGGTTCCGTTGCAGCTGTCGAAAGGGAAGTCGCAAGAATCCGAAGAAGCATTGTGTCTGACGCTCTCCGGCCGTTAACTCCCAGTCCCCGGCGACACAACAGAGAATCTATACAACAAACGCCCCCTTTGCACTATATCGAGATGGAAATGCCTATCCACGCAATTCCAAGTCCCCCCAAGCGTGAGAGCAGTATGGCTCGCCGTCCAGTCAACATGGCCGAGCCCTACCGGCCACGTAAACCACGCATTTCTCACACACGACCAATTGCAGGTCCCTCAGGGTCACCTGGCCGGCACAGGCCCTCTCGGACCCGAGCTGGGCGTCCCGTTCCGGTTGGTAGCTCACTGAAACAGCGAGAAATAACCTTGTCGGCAGTCCAGGAGACTACAAGCGAGAGTCATCGCCAACCGGCCGCCTCGAATGCGAAGCGTTTTGGAGTCGCTGACCCACAGCTTCGGAACGCTATCCGCAGAAGCCTTTCGCAGCAGAGTCAAGTTTCACTACTCGCATCTCCATCCAAGAGATCCTCTATCCAGTCATCGGGCCCTCGTCAACCACCTTCGCGGACTTCAAGTAACCGTCGAGCCGTAGACCGATTCACCAAACAATTGGAGATCTACGCCCAGCGCAGAGAGGCTGCTGGGAATCTTCCAGTTAACACGCCGACACCAGAGTCTGTTGTGTCATTACATACCGTCAACGCGCTGTTGCCGTATCAAGACCAGTTTCTGGCTGCCGGTCTAGCCGTGACTTCCGATCAGCAACGACCGAAGCGAGAGCCATCTGCGAGTCCGGCAAAGGACAAAGGCATTGAGACCGTACCGGGTGAACAGCCAAAACACTCTGCAGAAACTCGGTCTAAGGAGTCGCAGTCTCGGGATAACCCAGGCCATCTTCAGTTTAATGGCCAGAGAAGTCCATCTTGGGACTCTTCGTATGACAGCAGCTTGGGAACGCAGGTTGCTTTTACGCAACCAGAAGCATGGGAACTTGCCTACATTGATGAGGTGCCAGAGAAAAAGCCTGGCTGCTGCAATTTGACGTGCTTCACGGGACGAGAAGAATCAACCGAGATCCCGGCTAACAGAGTGCCGCCTGCTCAAACTCCGACGACCATCGATACCCCGAACAAAATCTTAGACAAATGGCACCCAGTATACCCGCAAAAGGATGAAGTCATCTGGATCAAGTCTCCAAGTGAGTAAACACGTCTTACAGAACACCGCACACTGGCTAACAAATGCACAGAAGGAACAGATTTCCGAGATCCTCGTGTCAAGACATGGCATGGAGACACCGCGCAACGCCCTTCCACTTATCGACCAGCGCGCAAACCTCACCCCGAAGATGAGCTGGAAGCCACGAGCCCAACTACCAAGCGCCCTGAAAACCAAGCTCCCGAGCAGGAAAATGTGCCGCCAATTCCTCCTAGAGCTCCGGGTCGTATCAAACCTTCAGTCAGGCATCAAGAATCAACGGCCGACTCGGCAACTACCAAGGGTTTTCGCAAACCAGGACAGCGGGATGTGTTTCTCCAAGCTACAGATGCAATACTTGTCAAAACAAAATCATCCACGCAAGAGCCGTCAAGTACTAGAAGACCAATGAAACCAATTGTTGAGTCTGTGTCAGATGAGAACACACACTTGACAGAGGAAGTTCCAAGTAAGACGCCGAAAGAGACAACAAAAGCTCAGATGTCGAATCAGGAGCCGACGAGGATCTCTGTCAACCAGCCAGAGAGAAAGGCCAAAGAAAAGGCAGCCCGACAGAAACAGCAAGTTGAAGTCGAGCACCCGGGGATTTTTCATTCTGGAAGAATGTTCAAGAGTTTGCAAGAACCTCCAAAACTCACAGCGCAGCAGCCCAAAGAGCGATCCGCAACCACCAGCCTGGGAACCTTGTCGCCAAAGCTTGACCTCCCTTCAACGTGGAAGCTGACCCTAAGTAATCCCTCATCACTTGAAGAGGCGATAGAACAGGCATCTCGAGAAATGGAGGAAAGGGACACCAAGGAAACCCAGACTGCAGGGAACAGCCAACCTGTATTAACGGAGAAAAAGCAGCCCGAAGCTATCGACCTGACAAAGACAGTTAAAGAACTTTTCTCCCACCCCGGCGATAAGGAAAATGCCCCTACAGCCAAGAAACTGCCCAAAAAGAACACAGAAAGCTCCATAAGCACTTACTCCTCACTCTCCACGGAGCGTGATGACCGAGATATCGATGACCGAGATGTCTTGCGAGGCCTCAACATTGCGATATCCGCGGCTTGCGACGAGGAGGTGGACGCGTGGATCAGACAGAAGACAGGCGTCCGCATCCGACGGTTCTTGGCTGACCTGAGAGCATTCGAGACACTTGCCGAGGAGGACGAGGAAGACCCCAAACACGAGCGTTCTCGAATCAGGAGGACGGAATCGAGGAAGCTCCAGGCACAAATTCGGCAGTCGAAAGCTGCCAGAGAGGCAAGAGCTCAGTGAGCTGAAGTCAAGAAAGTATTGATAGCGCCAAGTGCTATGCCAGGGGAAGCCTTACTTGGACTGATTAAGAGACATAATACCTGTAGCTTCTGAGCTGTCAGTCCTAAAATCCAGCTGTCGTCTCACATGGAGTCTTTTGTGTTTCGCGAGTGATGTTGTCTGTATCCCATAGCAGCATTGATAAAGAAAGGGATGTTTTCCGCAGGTTCACTCAAAGCACAGAACATGGTGCACTAGGGTGCAAAATATCGTCAGTGACTTCGGTTGGAACGACGTTCTGTTTTGACTTCATTGCTACAACAGTAGCATGATGCGATCTTGGATGACCGACTTGGAGCATCATGACTAATTGAAGAGTATACGCAAGTCCAAACCGCAGGGTTGGCGCCTAGGAATGAGGCTGAGATGACCTGCGTTTTCAGCGCCTTGGCGACGCGGCATAACTACGCCCAGAGATGCTTGTTCTGACTTTTTGTTCCGTTTTGGCTGCATAGTGAGCTGATTCTCTAAGAAGAGACAGATACCAGGAGAAACAGTGTCCACATAAGTTTATTTAGACGAGAATTCTTTCTCTGTACTTATTATATCGTAATTATATGTGTGTATCGCATGACTCTGAACATTTATCGTAGGGGGGGTATCTGCATGCTCATATATGCTCTTCCATCTAAACATGATGCTTCGAAATGGTGGGTCTGGGCCCAAACAAGACTTCGCACATCTTCTAACCGCGCTTGTGCTCAAACTCCTCGGCCTCGTGGCCGATCTTGACCTCCTGCTCGACCTGGGCAAGGTCGAGGTCCGCGACCTCGGCGTCGGGGCCGTCGATGACCTTGACGAGTTCCTCGAGGGTAGGGCCCTTAGTCTCGACGTAGAAGAGGTAGACGAAGGTGAGCTCGAGGAAGATCCAGCACTGTGGGGAATGGTGTTAGTCCAGTTTCTTCTCTTCGGGAGATTGCACGTCGCAGGGCGGCGACTCACAGTGTAGATGAGGTACAACTTCCAGGTGTGGCCCTCAAAGTGGTCAAAAGCAACGGGGTTAGCGTAGTTGTTGAGGGTGAGGGCAGCCTGGACGACGAGGTTGACGAGCATGAGACCCTTGGCACGCAGCTTGTAGGGCAGGATCTCGATGGAGTAGCCGATGAGGAGACCGGACCAGGCGAAGGCGTAGAAGAAGCCGAAGAGCCAGATGAAGAAGATCATGGCGTAGTTGGAGCCTGGGGAGCCGTGCTCCTCGTACAGACCGGAGCAGAGAGTCCAGAAGACGAAGGTCATGAACATGCCGCCGGTCGAGGCGAGGAAGATGGGACGGCGACCGAACTTGTCGACCTGCAGGGCCAAGGTAATGGAGACAATCAGGGAGAGACCGGTCTGGCCAGCGGAGAGACCGAGCTTAGCCGTGGCGCTCTCGATACCAGCGTTACCGTAGAGGATAGAGGTCTGGGAGATAGGAGTTAGTCACAAAGGTTCGGCAACGAGAAACCAGGACTTGTGTCGTCACGGAACTTACGTAGTTGGAAATAATGGCATTGCCAGACCATTGCGAGAACAGACCGAGAGAGATCAAAACCATGAGACGGTACTTGTTGCCGGCGGTGCGCAGGAAGTCGAGGTAGCTGCTGCTCTCCTTGGCGGCCATTTCGCGCTTGATGGTGTCGCGAATCTCGCGGAACTCGAACTGGACCGTGGGGTGTTCGGTGTTACCGTTGGCGTGGTACTTGCCGAGGATCTGCAGGGCCTCGTCGTGGCGGTCCCTGGAAATGAGGAATCTGGGAGACTCGGGTACCCCTTTATTCTCGTTAGCTACGGATGAGACTATCGGTCACTTGGCTCGACCTACAGAGAATGAAGATGAGCTGGACGACGGAGGGAACAGCCTGGCCAAGAGCAGGAATGCGCCACGACCATTCATTGCCGAGGAACTCGGTACCGAAGGACAGCCAGGCGACGATCAGAGCTCCGACGTTCCACAGACAGTTGTAGACAGTCGTGAGTCTGGCGCGATGTTGGGGATGGCAAAGTTCGGCGAGCAACATGGGCGACGCGATCTGGGCGAACGAGTTACCGAAACCAAGAAGGGCACGACCACCCATGAACACTTGGAAATGTCAGCTACTGTGTCGTGGCGCGGCTTTCGTGTATACTCACTGCCCATGTTCTGGCAAGCGCCCTGGAGAGCAGCTCCAGCAACCATAATGATGCATCCAATCACAATGGGAATCTTGCGGCCGAATCTGTCTGCGATAATGGGACTTTTCTCTCGGTCAGTATGTAAATCGAGACGGTGCGCCGAAGAGCTTACACTGCGGGCATGGAGGCCAAACTGCCGATTTGGTAAAGAGCAGCAAGAAGACCAAGCTCACCACCCTTGGGGTGGCTAAAGAACTCCTGCCATGAGTCGAAGTTCTGGACGGAGTTGAAGAACATTCTGCATTGAAAAAGCGTTAGCAAGTCGCTTTGAGGACGTGGGTGTCGACGAGACGCACCCATCGTAACCGGTGGTGGCTGAGGCAACGCAGAGCACGAAGGCGTAGAAGTACAGCTTGCGCAGACCAGGGTCTTTCATCCAGTTGACCTTCTCAAAGTCGGGTGCCTCTTCCTGAGCCTGAACGACGGCCTCGCTCTTGGGCTTTTTTTGCGTGAGACCCTTGAAGAACCCCATTGTGACAATGGCTCAAAGGCGTCGAGTTGAAGGTGTGTGGTGTTTGTGTGTTTGTTGCGCGTTTCTGCCGGCGCGGAGAACAAGAGCCAGAGCAGTCTCCGTTGTATTGGGCCTGGGGATGACTGGAGAGGGACAGCGAACGGAGGCGAGACGATCTACGACGCGGGGTCTCCAGGTCTAATATATGGATCCGGGGATCATAAGACGAACATAGGGAGGTGAAGAAAGCCTGACTGCTACAGTGCGAGTTCTTCTTACGGAGTGTCGGTCCGCAACAGGGTCCCAGGTCTCTAGATGGCCTTCATTGGGGCGTCAGGCGGGAACCACTTGGTCGGGATCCTTTGCTCGAAGGCCTAGTCGGACCTCGACCGACCCCAATCAGCTGTCATGATCAAGCTACTCGAGAATCTCCTCGAGCACGAGCAGCCTGCAGCCAACGTACTAGCCCATGTTAACCGGGGGTGGGAGAACGATGTGAGCAGCGGCAGGGGATTGCCACTTTCATCCGGCAAAAGTCGATGAGAGGACGTTTCAAGGCAAAGCTTCCTTGTCAAGTGAGACCCTCCGCATTGCGCAAGATGCTAGTCAAGACATTGTTCCCGTGCTGGAGGAACACCTCCAAAAACTTGGGGCCGTCCGAACGGGTGAATGCGAATCGGACACCACTGCCCCCAAAGTTTTGCAATTGTATTTTGCCGGGCGTGTTGGAGTGGACACTGGCGTCCACTAGACAAGGACAAGACTAGATGGAAAAAAGGTGTGCGCGTTCCACTTGCTGAACGTTCCCCCTGGGGTCCCGTGGAGAAGACCATTCGAAGTGGAGGCGGCAGGGAAGTGTCGTCCCGGTGGAGGTTGCGACGGTCTCGCCCGTTGGCTTCTTCGTTGTTCCCTAGAGCAGACGGTTTGCTCTTAGGCTGGACGGTCATTGGATTTGTAGCCGTCCGAAAATATGCCGCCTCATTCGGTAGTCTTGTACCATTGACATTAACGGGTGAATATCCGGACGAAAGACTTCGAAGACTGTGTCGCCGGCTCCGTACTTCAGAGATACCCCGGTAAGCGCCTTGTAAAGCGGGAGGTAAAAGACGGGAAGGATAGGAATCGCAAAATTAGGCGAGTTTGGGGTTGACTAGCAACTGGTTGACCGCTGCGGGGAACATAACGCCGAAGGACGGTAGGCCACTAGACCGTTTGTGCATCGACCGACAATGGCGACTCGAGAAGAAACCTGGCATCGCTCCCCGTGACTCATGTTGGATGTGTTTTCCCATTCCGTCTTTTCACCGTTGCTGCTGCCTTCTCTGGGAGATGTGATAAAATACACATTCGACAGAGTCCAGGTCCTCGATCCTTTGCGTCTTCCCTGACAGCTTGCTCCGAAGACGTTCTTTTCGCCCGTGTGAGTAGAGGTGTGATGTCCAGGTGAGCGAGTGCATAATCATTGGCAATTCTACAGCAGTTTAGTGCTCATCTCGTGTACCATACTTTAGCGGCGTGCTGAACGTTGGTAGGCCGAAAGTGAAAACATGTCCGTACCGCTGATGCTACTTTGTGTCGAGGAGACCCCTGCTCAAGGAAAGTTCCCTCGGTAAAGTATTCCCCCGTACTAATAGCCTGATGCCTTTTGGAACGCGTACACAGAGTAATAATGTCTGCAGAGTGCCGGGCAACGATTTCGTGCCGAAGGCTTGAAGACGGCACGCGATCGAGTTCGCATCGTATAAAGGCCCAGTACTCCGTCCGTGTCACATCGCAGATTGTAGTATGCTGTGGTAAGCACCAGAGAGTGAGCTGAGCAACCGTGGCGACAAAGACTCGGTTACCAGGCCTCGTAACTCCCTCGGCCGACCCTCGCCGGCCTCTTGCAGGGCTTACTGAGTTTGACCCGCATTCCCCAAATCCCCATGGTCGAAAATGGGTGGATTAGGCGTGTGGATGCGTGGATGTGTGGAGTGGTGGCCACAGCACGCTCGTCACCACTGAGATTGTCAGTCGATCCATGAAGTCGCGGACCAGCCCGACTCTGCATACCATCCCGTGCTGTGACTTGCGCAAAGTCGTAGCAAAGCCTGATACGAAAGCCTTCAACATACTCTCCACTGGGTTCAATGTGCGTCAATAGGTATCGTGTTTCGAAGAAAGCGTTCACGTGGTCGTCAGTCGGCGCATGGGTACATCGTTGGTGGAGACTTCCAGTGCCAGACTGGCCAGTGCCGTCGACAACCGTACGACACTCGTCCAGCAGCTCGCCTGCCCACCGGCTCGAATCTGCTGTTCGAATGGTATCGAATCCACAATAACAGACGTGGGGATTGCATTTCGTGGAGCTCCGTGAAGACGGTGGTTATTGTGCCGGGTTGAGGTTAGGCACAGAGAGGTTGGAGGCGTGCGTGAAGTTGGAGAAAACCATGCGCCGCCGCCGCACATGGGTGTTCACATCCAGGGTACCACGACTCTCACCTGCGCCACCCATGACATTTGGCGTATTTTGCCATTTAGCCTGATTTAGGCTAAATTGACAACCCGGTAGTGGATTTCCCTGTATCGGAGATCGCGCAGTGTCAAAATATCGAATTGCAGGGCCGTCTTGGGAGTGCGAACCAACACAGCTGACTACCAGATTCTGGCCATGGTTAGATGTCGAGTTCATGCTCCGTGTGACAAACACTGGCTTCCATAAGGCCCGATTATTGCGGCCCAGGGTTCCTCTGGTCCGCCGACACGGGGTTGGCCCGAGAATGATGCCCCAGACGGACGGATCCGGGGCCGTCTTCGACATCTCGGGTAGCGGCATTCTTCGTCTTGGGTCAACCAGCTTCCATTGCTGACAGGATGTCAGAACATCAGACCCAAATAGCAATCAGCAACGAACGACGGCTCCCAGGCCCGTCCGGCCTCTCAGAGACCAGCGGAAGGACCGATCTGCTGCGCGCATTGCATATGCCATTTCTGTGAAACGCGCAAATCTCGAGACGTCGTTGAGTTGCGGCTGCTTCCTCCGACCAGGGGTAATTTATCCATATATTGCCGGCATGTCGCCGCTTCAGAGGATTCCGCGAAGGGCCGAGAGTGTGCTGGCAGATCGCCGAATCCGTGATCTTGGGACCAATTGCTTATATTGCCTCCCGCACACGGTGTTTCTTGGTGGGCAACAGTTCCAGGAATGGAACCACTTCTGGAACGCGAGCCAATGGCCGTACCTGCATGTCTTGGGATGCGCCGCTGCCGTGCCGGTGCGACTTTGACTGGGCGTGGTGATGGCTGACAATTGTGACGATCATCGGAATGTGTCTGGCCGCCTTGCCGCCGTTGAAGCATCATGCAAAGGATGTTCCTGGCGCCTTCTGCATGTGTGAAGGATGCGGCTGTTCCGGATTCCGAAGCATGTCACTTGACTTCCCATCAAAGTTGATGGGCCACTGCAAACAGAGGTTTGTCTGAAGGCAGACTGACAAGAGTTTGGTGGTTTGGAGTTCGGTTGGTCGACGCACGGACTCCAATTCGCCAGTTGTTTCCCCGCACGAACCCCAGCTCATCCGACGCAGCACTCGCGGTCGCATGTTCACCAAACTCACTTCCCCAGCTGTATCCCGGGGCCTCAGTTTATTGCTGCATTATTCGTGATATTTTGGTACGACAGCAGAAATGAGCGACCGCAGGCTTAGTGCTCGTAGGCCCACTGACTTGGAGATCATGCTGGCCAGGCAGAACTTCACGGCCAAAGAAACCACAGATGAGCATTTCTTCCGGTGTTGGCAACGCCAGGACTGCAAGGGCTGCCTTGCGGAGGACCGCTGCAGTTGGTGCCCAATGGTTGGTTTCCTCCGTCTTATTACAGCTCTCCAAGGACGATCGCTTATCATGAACACCGGCTAGACATCTGCATGTGTCCCGAATCCTTATGCAATTCCATTGCTTGCGCCCGCATGGAATGAGGACGTTTGCCCACATTGGGCGGAGCGATGGGAGCTTCGGACAAGACCACTTGGTTGCCAGGTCTCGACCATCACCAGCCTAACGTCCATCATCTCGATAGTGTCCACGCTGGTCGTGGTATTGTTGGTAACACTCCTGTTCGTCACGATTCGCTGGACGAGGCGTCGGAGCGTAAAGGAACCCGGGTGGTGGAGGGCTTGGCAGTACGACTGGAGGCATATCGTAACGCGGCGAGACAATATCGGAGAGCAGGACCCTTTACTTGGGCAAGATCACAGTACGAGGTCAAATCCAGGCCCTTGAGGGTGAGCACCACCCTATGTGGTGCTGTCTGTACCCGTAGCAACTTGGGAGAATTGAACCATGGATGAACTGGATTCAAATCGTCGCCGAGCGCCATTCTACAGTTCATTCAACCACCGCGCATATTTGTCAGCCGGAACTGACGGGTGGGATAATGGCTACTTCATCTCCAGCCTGGATGTCTGGCCCATCCCCATCTTCTGGTCCGGGGAGGTCGACGTACTCTAGGTTCACTGTGACCAAACACGACTCCAAAACCTTATCCTTGATCCCATTGTATCTCTCTTCGAGCATGTCGAAAAGCTTCTTCAGCGGTAGCGGAGCGGGGAATGCCTCAGACTGCTTGGACGTGAAGGAGCCGGCGCTGGCGAAGAACAACACATTGAAGTGGTCCTTGGGTGGCTTTGTCGCCGCGCTCATGGTGTCACTGATGTCTGGGGATATCTAGGGTCTTTTTTCAGGTTAGCCTTGGCCCATTTGCTTGAGAGAACAAAAAGGTTGAGGAAATGATTGGTATCAGAGATCTTGGTGATAATGGTAGAACATCAATGGAGTTCAGGTAATACATGCTAATTTTGTTACATCATTCCAATGTGACGACAGTTGCAAGAAAAAGTCGACTTACCGATCAGCGATGAACCCGTGTCGCGGGCTGAGGAAGGAAGAGAAGATGTTGAGAATGGAGGGAGAAGGAAAGAAGAAATAGCTGAGAGGAAGCTGAAGTGGGGCACCTGCAGAAAAAATCGTACCCCCGTCCCACGTGACCGGAGCCGCACTGCGGTCGGCGACAGATTCCGTTTGGCGGGGCAGACCGTAGAAGATGAGAGCAAGTATAATTGCACGTTTTGAGAAGTGCTTCGGGATTTTTGCGGTACGCGGCTGTTGCGCTGTTCGTGTCATTATCAGTGTACTCATAACTCTGCTAGAATGCCATGTCGGCACAGAAGGCGACCCTTGTCCCCAGGTATCCCAAACAGTGACTCAAGTTTCACCGACCCCTCGCGCGTTTGCATTGCGCCGCATCATAGGTAGGCACACACGGTCGACCGAGCAGAGCGCCTCGCGGCTGGTGGGAGAACCTTGCTGTATTCATAATGCAGAATCCGTTTTTGACTCCTCTAAACACGAAAGCCGTGAGCCCGAGCTCGGGTGACGAAGCCCTTGCAATGTTCCTGTCCCATCCTCAGAACCAAGATCCGTTCCTCGTAATGTCCATTCACGCGCCGCCGCCGATCGTCGCCGCCTTTCTATCTCAGTCTGCGGGCCTCACGCTCAGACTCGAGCAAGCAGAGAATGTCGTCCTCGCGGACTAGACGCCCAAACGTTAGCAACAGGTTCCTCTCTCCTTTCTCGCACGCTGTTCGCTTCTCGGCGGTCGATGCGGGGGCAGTTTCCTCTTACCGGGTCCCTTGACGTTGCGGATGATGGAACGGGTCTGGTCGTCCATGAACTCGACGCGGACCTGGGTGACACCACCACGGGAACCTGATATCTGTCAGAAAAAAAAATGCCATAATTTGTCTCTTCATCGGCGCATCGCGAAGTTCGAATTCGGACGGGGGAGCGCATCGATTCGGGAGCTGGGCGTACCGGTGCGGCCAAGGACACGGGTGACCTTGACGAGCTTGACGGGCTGCTTGGTAGAATCCATTTTGACTGCAAGAAAAATTTTACGTCAGTCGCGATATTCGAGAGCGTTTCGGCGGTGTCGTTGGCGTTGGCGGACGTACTTTGTGTGGTTGCGCAGGTTCGGTGGTGACTGGGCGGATCGCGGGTGCTGAATGGATTGAGCGTGTACTGAAGATGGCTGCGAACTTTTTTCGTGGTCTGGAGGGTTTTCCAGCCCTTTCGCTTGTGGACAGTGCCAGAGCGTTGGCCGGTGCTGATTGGTTGGCGGGGAACGGTCTTGAGCCACACCGCCTTCCGCTTCGGTCGATTCTGCAGGGGTTGCTACATTGGGAACATGGAGACTGGCATACCCCCAAGTGACATACATGCAGTAGGATGTCGAGGTTCGTCTTCTATCAGAGCCTTTTCAGCACACGAGAAACACAAAAGAAACTTACGATGAGGCTTATCGAATGCAGTTTCATCATATCATCCCCGATTCATCTCTTCATTGCTTCTCCAAGATGGCTTTCTAACATGCGCAGCTCGACTAAATATGGATTAAAGCAGGGGTATCTTCTGACGGCGCTGGGCCTGTCATTGCAACTTCGCAACGCGCCCCTCCAAGTCCTTGACCCAGGCCTCCATAACCTTCATGTTGCCCGCCATGGAAGTGCTGCCTTCTTTCATAGCCTCCTCGACCTTTTCCAATCCTTCCTTCCACTGCTTGAGATCGGTAGCCATATCGGTCTGCTGTCTCTCAATTCGTTCAAGCATCTCGCTTGCCGTCGCAGCGTCGGAGTGAATAGCCCGGAGGGATCTAAGACGATCCAATAGCGGCGGCAGCAGAGGAGCCAGGCTCTCAATCGTTGGCAGGGTCCCATAAAGTGCGTTGATCTTGGCCACCTGCTCCGGTGCCTGCGCCTCTTCACTAGGCGTACCACCATTACCCAGCGTCTCTTGTGCAGACTTAGCCCCTTGGCGGGCTTTCTCTAGTTCCTGTGCCTCCTGAATGAGAGTACGCACGCGACGGCTGATTGTGTCCAGATTGGACGTTGACGCTTGTGACAAAGTAGTAATCTGCTTCTGCAGGCCATCAAGAGTTGGCAGAATTGCCCTGGGCAAGCCGTTGATGTCGACCTCTGGCAGGGCCGAAGAACCAACTCCAATAGCCTTCTCCAACAGGACAAGACGGCGATCAAAGTCCGCGGCTTTGGCGAGAGCGTGACTCTGTTCGTATGTGGGAGCATAGGTGACGGTGTAGGTTGCTGCACTTCCCGCTACCAATGCATCCTGCGATCCCGCTTGCAATTCCTTGGGCGCTTGCGGCGCAGGTTGCGCAACACCTGTGCTCTTGTTGTGAGGCTCAATGGTCTTGGAAATCTCGTCGAGAACCTTGCTGAGAGAGCCAAGCTTCTCCTCATGGTCAGCCCCGCCGGCTTGGGCAGCGGCCTCCTTTCGTTTGCCGTACTCCTCCCTAGCCTCTTCAACCTCGCGTTGCAGGCGCGCAATCTTTCTCTCTAGATTATCCGCGTCATCTTCGTCGCTGAGATCGCCAATTTCCTCGGTGCCGTCTTGCAGAAAGCGCTGGCGCCTGGTCGAGGCCTTGTAGGACTTGCGCTTGCCATCGACTCGGTCTGAGAAGTCAACACCGGTTGCGTCGACGCCGGCAGGCAGGAAACGAGACCTCGCTTGGTCTATGCGGAGTCGTGACCGGGAAATGCCGTTTATATCGTCGTCAAGATCGTCGTCGAATTCGTTGTCGGAATGCGATTGCACCGTTGTTGTCTACCACCACATCAGTCACACGTCATCTTGGGAGAACGGCCGGACGCACAGGAACCGTGGAAGTGTCGTCTGTCAAGTCTGGGGTCTCGTAAACATCTGGTGCCGAGTCCTGGGTGGTGTTAGTATAGACCGCCTTTCGTCCTGCCGTGTGTGTCTTCAGGTGCTCTGACCAGATCTGGCAATGCTGCGTACTTGCGGTTCAGCGCCATGTCGAAAGTTGGAGATTGGGCCCTAGTGAGGGTTAAAAGTCAAGATCGCGATCGCAGGTTGGGGCGCGTCGGCCAAGTCTGGTCGAAGAGTCGATCAGGCAGCTCTGGCGTTTGTTGACAGCTATGATGCACGACGCAGATGAAGTCGTTGAAAGCGCCAGAGCACCCCTGCACGAGAAGGGGAAGCTGCACCGCTGAGCCGCAGGGGAATTCCACTAAAACTCCCCGTAATGCACGGAGGCGTAAAGTGAAAGTGGCAGGTGGGGTACATCGGCGCCCCGGCAGGCACGCGTCAAGGACGCGACTTCAGCTTTTTCATGAGGGAGCAACACTTGACCCCAAAAGGCAACCCTCTTTTTTTGGGTCCTCGGCCGTCATTCAACGTCTCTTTGAACTTCACGACGCTGGACTCAGATCACACCCCGGTCAGGCAATCAATTGACGTGACAACTGACTCTCAGCTCATATTCCGGCTACAGGCGTCTGGGACATCTGCCTCCCCAATTTTCCTGGCCAGCACCCGCCCGAAGCCGACGGCCAATTTCGGACGGGAAGAAGCCGCCATCTTGCCGTTCTTACCCGTCTTAGCTTCCCAAAAGCTCGCTCTGGGGCTGACCACGAGCAATCATTTTGGACTCCTACGCTATCTTGAGTCCGGGGACGTTCCGCTGGAAATGTCCCGGCTTCAGGGCCACCAGCTTGAGAGGCGGACCGGCTTGGCTAGAAGCTCTCAGACGGCCCCTTTGCTGAAAATTGTCGGCGGCCAAACTCGCAAAAATGTCAAATCTACCAAACCCGTCATGCCGGCTGCCGAAATGACGGAAGCCCAAGTCTGCGAACTGCCGCAAGATGACTCAGATGAGGTCAGTGAGCCGGATATGCCATCAAAAAGCCAGGACGAGGCCCCGGGAGATACTCAGGAAGAGAGATCAAGTTCAAAGGGGAAATCTCCCAAGGTTGTCTCGAAGCCCACGGACGATCCTGATTCAGACGCAGACTACGCTGCTCGTAAAGAGAAAACCGATGTAAGACAGACATACTTCGGGACTTCAAAAGCTGGGCGAGAGCAAGAAAGAAACTTCCGCGCCTCTCAAGAGACCTGCTCAGGGCCGAAGTCCTTTGGTGGCTCTCAAGGCTCCAATTCTCAACCGCGAGGCAGCAAGAGAAGTTCTCCAGATACCGCCTCTCCAGGTCCGGAGTCTAAGAGAGGCCGGACTGGGAGAGTTGACAACGGTAAAGATACTGCCAAGCTTCTTAAACTCAGTCAAACTTCAAGCCAACGCAAGGGATACGGAAAGAAAGACAAGGAGAAGGCGAGAATTGAAGAGAAGAGGAAGGAGAGGGAGAGGGAGAAGGAGGAGGCCAAGAAAGGTTCGTCCATGCGCCCCCATGACCTTTTCTTACTGCTGACCCTCGTCCTAGCTTGCCAACCAGCGCCGGAGGTAAAGATGCCCTCATTCAAGTCATATGACGATGATCCGTTTGAGAAGTTCGACGTCAAGAAATCACCGAAAAGCCTCGTTAATCCCGGGGCATCGTTTCTTTCGTCGCCGCCTGGCAGTCCTCGGAAAAAGTTCGTGGCGCATTCGTCCCTGAGCCCCATCAGCTTGCCTCAGCGTAAGATCAAGGCCGAGTTCAAGGATCCTCCTGCTTCATTGCCTGACCCGCTGCTGAGTTCTGGCACAGCACCGGCACGCCTGCGTGACTTGGTACCAAGTCTCGAGACTGCTCCGAAGATGCTCAAAGATCCGTTCGCAGAACTGCCAGACTCTGATCTTGATGACGATGAGGATGAGAGCCCATCTTATTCACAGCCTTTAGAGACAGTGACACGCTGCCCCATGTGCGGTGATCCTGTCGACAAGGACTTTCTGGATGCCTTTTCAAACGGCACCCGCCTGCGTATCCACAGGCAGCTTCAGTTCTGCCGGCAACACAAAAAGAAGTCGGCCGAAGATGCCTGGAAAACACGCGGCTACCCGGATATTGATTGGGTGGAGCTCGGCTGCCGCCTCTCAGACCACTACGACTTCCTGGAGGAAATCATTAAGGGGGGGCGGTCTCACTATGGGGACCGTTTGATTGACACGGTCAAAGAAGGCAAGAACCGCACGCTGTTGAAAGCCGAAGGCAGCTTGACACCCGGATACTACGGCCCACGTGGCCTTCGAGCGTTGTCGGAAGACATCATTGCACGTTTCTCATCCATTCTCAGAGAGCGGGCCATCGATGACCGACTTATATCTTCACGCGGATATTCTAGTTATGTGGAAGCAGTCTTGGTCCCTGAGTTGGCCGTCAAATTAATATGTGAGGATATGCATGTGGAGCCCACGGAAGCAAGAAAGATACTCGAGGACAGCAAGGATATTGGCGACATGATAAATGAGGATGTCGAGGACACGGTCGACCAAGTTAGCGACGATGAAAGGGATACGTATTGAGAATTGGCATGGGTTAAAAGGCTGCATAGGTACGATTTTACGCTTCAGAGACAGACAGACTTGTCCTGCGAATGGCATTTTCACAGCGAGGGACTCGCGGATAGCACAGCACGTATAAGTACAAATATCATGGAAATTGAAAGCAGCTTCATGAGACTCCCAGTCGCATTTGACATGGGAAATAGTGTTCAATTCTTCGTAAGTTACATAGTGGGTATATGGAATAATATTGATCTTGAAATACTCGTCTCAGCGACGTCTGTCATGACCCCTTTCGCTGGCAGGTGTGTATGGCATGACTACTGGAGAAAGAGTCAACAAAGAAAGCAAGAGACAGTGACTGGCGCCGTGAATGATACTTACTGGTGTATGTCATGTGAGAGCTGATGGAACTTGTTTCTTCGGAAGCATCTCCTGGCCTCTTGGCGTGACGCTGCAGGTTCAAATCTGGCCCGACCCCGGAGGCATGCTCGCTTCTAGTAAAGTAGCACTAATAGTAGTGTGTCCTGACTTTTCCCGCCCTACCACTGTGCATCGCGTATAGCGTAAAAGCACATGAGCGGCTAGGTCAGGCTCGTCATGTAGCTATCGACACCGCGAATACACTACTCGTATGGCCTCTTGAAATTTGTCGAGGCTTGCGTTGGACTGGCGAACACGCCAGTGTTATTCTGCACCGACGTCATCCAGTCATCACTCGCGACATTGTCCCATAACGCTCCGTTTGCAAAGAGCATGTCTAGGGTGCCGTTCGACTCGACCGTGTTGAAAGAGCCATCAAAGTTCTGCAACTGGCCAATGAGATCGTGCGCGCCGGGGCCCAGCTGGGCAGACTGATCCCACATGTTGGCCCGGTCGATGTTCTGCCGCTGGGGCGACATTGGGTCGGGTGCCGTGCCGTTGCCCAGCCCCTGGATCGAGTTGTCTTTGTCGAGCATGGCCATGAAGCTTGCTTGCGCCTGGGCTTGGGCGTAGGCTGAAGCGGCGGCGGCGTCTGAGACGCCGTCGATCGGGGTGAACATGGACGGCGAACCGTTGGATCCTGCGCTGCGCTCCTCTCGCCATTGATCGTCATCCACTTCCTGGACTCTGGGCGACGGGTTCCTGTTCATGATCATCAGGGGACCGTCTTGGACCTCGGCGATGCGAGCGCAGAGCATCTCCAGCAGGGCCTTGTTGCCTCCTCGGCAGGAGGCCAGCACCCTTTGCAGTTGTAAAAGAATGTCTCTTGGGCCGTCGGTCGAAGCCCGCGGAAGCCGAAAGTTGTTTGCGACGGCATCGGTCACTGCGCTGGCGATCTCATAAATCTTGAACTCCTATTCCAAAAAGTCAGCAAAGACACTGATGCGGGCCAGCAGCGGCATGTTATAATCCTACTATTCCAGGGCCATGGGCCTCGATGGCCGTGCTTGGCAGCTGTGATATGAGTTGAAGGAACTCCTTTGCGATCTGGATGGGGTGCGAGAGGGAGGTCACGTTCTGGTTCGAAGAGGACGGCCAAGCTCGACCATGGTTCATGGTAACCTTCCACAACACCGCTTGCATCCACTGGCGCGTGACGACGATATCGGCGCGCTGAACATCGCTGCTAGCGTCGGCATCCAGGGGTATTTCTTGGAGCTTCCTTTGGACAACATCCAAGCAGGCTCTGCTGGCCGTCTGCAAGCCATCCGCCATGGACCAGATGGCATCTTCCTCGTCCGAGTTTTGAAGAATGTCAAAGGCGCCGCTCTGGTCAAATATCCAGAACAGGTTGGCGAGCTTCTTGAAAGCCGGCAGGATGTGTCCCTCGTCCTCTCCCACGCCAGACCCATCCAGGGAGGGGAAGCGTATGTTGGACTTGAGCACGACCGGCAGCTTGTGAAGCATTGCTACGCCCCTGAAAAGTGTGTTAGACGCACCAAGCTCACGTTTTTTCAACCACTCAGGGAACGGCGATACCTTTCCGTGACGAACAGCAACCACAATATCCTCCGCCTCATCTGCTGCTCTGAGAGAGGCAGACTCATGTACGACGACTCCTTGTGCAGCCCCATGATCTGGGCTAGAGTGATGGCCTCCCGCAGGTAAAGGAGGGACTTGGCCCCACCCGGCTGCTGGTTTTCGTGATATACATGAAGAAAGAAGGACGTCCTCAACCAATTCAGGTTCATGGGTGGGCCGCCCTGCCGTTCCTGCAGCGCCATCCGCGAGCGCTGGCATTCCGCCTCCATGGACCCCGCCGTCGCGGGATCGTTGTTGTCTGTCGTGGACAGCTTGAGCTGTGATATCGTTGCAGCCCCAACGGCGTTGGCCAAGACGTATGACTCCAAATCATCGGCATCACGGTGGAGCGAGGCCATTATCTCCTCGACGGCGATGATGGGCCATACTGGGAAAAGTCGCAGGCGGTAAACACATAATCTCAGTACCAGTGACGGGATCGGGGTCCTCGGGGTTTGGACAGCAGCAGCAACAGCATCCTCTTGCCGGACAACTCTTTGGCTTCCAGTGGAGCCTCCTCCGTCAGACGAGTCCTCGGACGAAGACGGGGACCTTGACGGCGAGGTGCCCGTTGGCGGCGCGCCGGTAGGCGAGGTGCTGTCAGTCCCATCGCCGGCGGAGGCCGGGGCAGGGCCGGGACCGGGACCGGAACTCTCTTGTTGTTGGGCCTGAGCAATCTGCCGGATTGTCTTCGCTCTCAGGTTCCGGGGGCCCCGGGTTGCAGGGACCTTGTTGAAGGTGCAGGCGGTTCCGATGGCGACGCAGCCGTGGCAGGGCGGGACCTCGGTGCACTTGATCTTGCGGATCTTGCACGCGTCACAAGCTCTCTTGCCAATCTTGCGCCCGGTAGACATGTCGCGAAGACGGAAGAGAAGCGTAAAGGGCTACTCGTGCCGTGGCATGGCAGACTGCCAGCCAACCCAGACTTTAGTGTTTCCGACGCCTCCCCACAACGCGTGTGATTGTGTGTCACCCGTTGTATGTGGTTTGTTTCCTCTCTTGGTCTTAGTGATGTAAGAGGTGGAGGATGGTATCACAAAGCAGGCAGGCAGGTGTTGATAATAGAAATATTCAAAAAAGAAAGACAAGAAAACTTCGGCTATGCTCCGGTCTGCCCAAGTCTGTCTCTGCGCCAGTCGACTTTTGTGGGATGAACTCGAGCAGAATGGTACGGAAACCCTTGTTGTCAAGCAGTGAGTTTGACAGCAAGAGAAGGGCAGGCGGGCTCTGGATTCGGAGGAGGGAAAGGAAAATTGGGGACTCTGAGCAGACAGAGGTGCTGTTTGGACTCTTGGAGCTGTTTGAGATGCCGCCTGCGGGGCCTCGGCGATGGTGTGCTCGATGCACTAAGCCCGGCGTGGTAATGGTGGGGAAGGCTCCCTGCAGCTGGGACCAGAGGGGATTCGTTAGGGATCCTTAGCGCTCTTGGCTTTGTATTTCCCCGCAAATTGCGGCCTGTTGACCGCCGACCGAACGGCCCTTTTTTCCAGCGGTTTGGTCTGGACACTGCGGGAACCGTACCGCAACTGCCCTGGACTGATTCGATCAATCAGCGTCTCTGCATTTCGATTTGTAGACCCTCACTTTAGGAACACACTCCGAAGGACCTTACAACGCTGCAGAGTCTTGGCTAATTGCCTTACATACAAAATCACCATAACAAAACACACAGTCGTTGACATGTGATCCAGCTCAGCCAATTATTGTTGTCTCTTTAACATGCGTAGGCCACGTTGGTTCATTTAAAGGGAAATATCACTGACGAGGGTAGTTGTCAATGCAAACCGCCAAGCTCTAAGCCCCTGTCATCTTCAATTACTGCTTGATTATCCACCTTCTAATTATTCAACTTGGGTATCCGTATTCCGCCGAAAAACAACTTCACGCTCTTTCGCATGGGGTAGTAATTGCACAGATCTTAGTAGACAAATCTGAAATCCAATCGCTTGTTTCCGTCCTTCTCGCGCGCCTCCGCGTCGTTCTGGTACGCCAGCCGCTCCTCGTTCGACATGGTGCTCCACACCCGCTCCTTACGCTTGTTCAAGGTGATCAGGACTTGCCTGTGTACCAGGAACACCACAAGACTCAGAGCGCAAATGGACACGCAGACGGTGTTGCCGCGCTTGTAGTAGGGGGCGTCGTACGCGCGGTAGATTTGCGAGCCAATGAGCGAGCCGATCTGGACAATGACGTTGTAAGTTGCGGCTGAGATGGCGCGCTTCTTCACGTCAAATGTGTTTTCGGAGATCCAGGACGACACGATCGGGTGGAAGTAGGGGTAGCCAGAGATGAGCGTGACCATCGAGAAGCGCTCCCAGTCACGGCCACCATCGGGCAAGGTGAGCAGGCCAATGAGGAGAGGCATGATCCACGCCTCGCCAAAAATGCAGTGGAATGCCCGCTCCTTGAAGTAGTCGCTGCTGAATGCAAGGCCGAGCATGGTGAAGATCTGCAGGACAGCCGACGGGACCGTGAGCATATTCGCGTTGAAGGTCGTGAAGCCGATGCGGCGGAGCGTAAGCGTGAGATACGCCTGCACTGGGGTGGCTGGGATGTAGGCGACGAGACCGATGAAGTAGAGACCCCACATGGAAGGATCCAGCCAGGCGTTCTTGATGTCCTTGAACGTCGCCGGCTCCTTGAGGGCAGTGAGGCCCTTTGCGGGGTCGTCGCGGAGGATGCGGTTGGTCATGATGACCTCCTCTCTCTCAGTGTACCAGGGTTTTCTCCACATGACCGTTGTCGTGTTTGTGGGGGACTGGGGGAGCCAGAGGAAAGACTGAGCAAACCCCGGTTAGCCGTCGGTCCATCGCCAACAAAAGAGGGGTGTTCAACTTACGACAGTCGCCAGCACGCAAGTCAGGAGACCTTCCAACATGAACAACCAGAACCAGCCCGGGTGGCCCCCAATACCGCGCATCTTGAGGATGCCAGCCGCGAGGAGAGCCGAGATGACTCGCGCAACGTTGAGAGTGGACCAAAACACGGCCAGGCGCACCGAGAGCTCCTTGGAGGTGTAAAAGTATGTCGCAAAGAGGATAGTTCCGGGAATAAAACCTCCTTCGCAGGCACCTTGGACTTGTGTTAGTTGAAAAAGACGAGAAAAGGGGGGTTTGCAACATATTCGAGCATACCAATGAGGGCTCTCGTAACGTAGAAGCCAGCGCGGTTCGTCATCCAGGCCTGGGCCCATGAGACGGTTCCCCACATCATCATCATGGTCGGCAACACATACTTGAAGCCGTAACGCTTGGTGAGGAATTGAACGGGAAACTCGGCGCACAGGAATGCGAGGAGCTGAATCGTGGTTCCCTGAAGATTGGCGAGTTAGCAAGTTGTACAGCCTCGCTAAGCATCACGTCGAGTCTCACGTTGTTGTAGTCGTCACTGCTGAGCTTCATGTCCTTGAGGAAATCATCGGCCAGCGCGTTGGACAGGTTTCCACGGTCCAGCTGGAGGCCGAAAAACATGACGCAGAGCCAGGTCAAGAGCTTAAGGTCCGTCTTGCGAACAACAGCCCTCTCCTCGGCTGCCGTCCAAGTCGCTGTCGGGTCCCATCGGTGGCGTCCCTCGTAGGACTCGTGAGGCGGGACGAGATCAGAAAGGTTCTCGCGGCCGACCGCGGGCACGTCAGAGTCCTGGTAGACCGAGACGGCGTCCTTGCCGCTGTCGCTGCCCGTCTTGTTGGCGTGAGTAGCCTCGACGTCGGCCATGTTGACTGACGGGTCTTGGCTGGGCGGGTGTAGTGAGTGAGGTCCGGGTCAGGTTCGCTCGCAGGGAGGGAACCGGTTCAGAAAAGACGCGGGCGGACCGTTCAACTTCCCAGGAGTTCGGGCCGCTTTGTGGAATGAGAGCAAGCGACGACGATGGAGAAAGAGGGTCCCGGGAAGGGCAAATGGCATGTTCTGATGCTTCAACTTAATAGTCGTTCTGGAGGCTCTGTTTGAGGCTAGCAGATCACGGCTCACGACATCGAAGCTCGGTCTTGCGTCTTCGATGATATCCACAAACTAGTGGAGGTGAACCATGTGGCCGGACCGGGGGCAGGAGAAGATGGTGTTGACAACTTTTTCTAGTGTTTTTTTCTGGATCTCGGAGTGCCTTTTTGACAGGACCCGGCTCCGTTCCGGATGGCTTAGCCGTGTCTCCAACTTTCCCCAGATTCTCCAGGTTTTTTTTCCGCGCGCTAGGGGACCCCTCATTGTCTTGGCCCGTCAACAGTATCATGTAATTCAGCTTCGTTCGAAACCGCAGCGTTTTGATCGCAGGTCAGCTGGACAATCGACCGACAAAAACCTGGGACTCGGGGCTGCTGAACGGGCTGGGGGGGAATCATTCATCAAGGAGGGGGGAGGCAATGCAGCAAGCTTGTGATGGAATGGGCAAGGAGCCCCGGCAGAGAGTACGAAGACAACTCCATTGCTTTCTCCGAGAGATTCTCCAGGACGGAAAACTGGGGCGTTTGGCTCCGAACAAGAACCCCGCTCCCATGATTGGCTGCACCAGACAGCCTTCGCCAAATTAGGAAGCTTTGCGATTGCGCCATCGCCCACCCAGCCGGGAGCCGCCGTGCAACGAGAGGCCATCCTGTTGGAGAAAACGTCTGACGATCGATCCTCTCTCTCTCCCTCTCCTCATCGATGACTGACCTGACTGGCAACTGCTGCAGTGGCCCCCCGGTTTCGCTCTGAGACATTATACATCCTCACTGTGATACTTGAAGAAAATCTCACGGCTGCTTCGGCCCTACACTTTGTCAAACACATATATATCTGGCAATTCTCGGCTCTTTGCTTATCAGATCTCGCTTGGATAGATCCACGACTCATCAACATCTACCTTACCTACAATCATCATCTGCCGACTCTAAGCGGAGGTAGCCTCGTATACTGCTACTTCAGAGTTGATCTCACATATTGAGTCTCATCCTGTACCACCAACAACATGCCTTCTGCCATCTCCAACGACACCGAGGCCAACATTGTTGGCGGCAACGCCCAGGCCCGCCCTCGCTTGAGCAAGCCTCTGGTCTACTCCGGGACCCTTGATAACTACAAGAATGCCGACATCACCCCTGTCATTGGCCGGGAGTACGAGGGCCTCCAGGTGGTTGATCTCCTCAAGGCCGATGACCAGGTCATCAAGGACCTGGCCGTGACGAGTAAGAAAGAATCTTGCAGTCCAGCTGTGTGTCTTCCGTCCACGTAAATTGTCTAACAAGTGTGCATCATTTTCCAGTCTCCCAACGCGGCGTCGTCTTCCTCAGAGACCAGGATGTGACCCCAACTCAGATGAAGGAGTTTTGCCTCCGCCTGACAGAGCTTGCTGGATGTGTAAGTCGCCATCTCATGTCGAATGGGGCAAGACTAACTCGGCAGAACAGCCCGAATCATCAGGCCTTCACATCCACCCCCTGACGGAGGAGGGTAGCGAGCTCGGTGACCAGATTAGCGTCATCAGCAGCGAGAAGCAGAAGAAAGGCGGCGGTCTCACTCACCAATTGAGCGATGTCAGCCGATTCGCCAGCGCCGGCTGGCACACCGACATCTCTTTCGAGCAAGTCCCCTCGGACTACGCCATGCTCAAGATCCACACCCTGCCCACGACGGGCGGTGACACTGTAAGTTGGGAAAACACATGCATCCTTCCCTACCCCTTGTCCCCGCTGGACCCCTTGCATGCAAGAGAGAGAGAGAGAGATACCTTGTAGCTGACAAACCGTCTGCAGCTGTGGGCTTCTGGATATGAGATCTACGACAGACTCTCCCCTGCCATGCAGAAGTTCCTGGAAGGGCTGACTGCCACCCACGACGCCACCTTTTTCCACGACGAGGCCAGAAGGCTCGGCAACCCACTCCGTGAGGGCATCCGAGGCTCGCCACTGAACAAGGGCGGCGACCTCAAGTCCATCCACCCCGTCATCCGGACCAACCGTAAGTCGTAACCATCTTCCGTCGACTATAGTCGAGACTTTGCTGACAAAACGCGGGCAGCCGTCACCGGATGGAAGTCCGTCTACGTGAACAAGGGCTTCACCAAGCGCATCAACGGCGTCACAAAGGACGAGTCCGACGTCCTCCTCAACTACCTCTTCAACCTCGTCACCCAGAACCACGACGCCCAGGTCCGCTTCAAGTGGCGCAAGAACGACCTCGCCATCTGGGACAACAGGAGCATGTGGCACTGCGCCACGTACGACTACGTCGAGGCCAGGGCGGGCGACCGTGTGGCGTCGCTGGGAGAGGCTCCTTATCTTGACCTGAACAGCACCGGAAGAAGGGAGGCTTTGGGTTTGTAGAAAAATGATGAACACGACAGGGGAATCATGATTGGCGTTAGCGTTTTATGTATGGGGCCGATAGGTCCCGAGTTGAATTGATACTACTTGCTATGATCATTGCTCGCTTCAGACTCGTGACATTGCTTGGAAAGCCTTTCAATGATTTTTGGATTTGATTATAGTCCCGTTCATGGAGACGTGTCTGAGGCTGTTGGAGCTGTAGCCTCTAGCAAGGTCGTCACAGTGACCCTTGGCAATAATGTTTCTATTCCACTGATTCAGTTTGTATCAATTTGCTATTCTACTTGCTCCTTGTAGTTCTCCCCTCACCATTCATGCATCAAGAAAAACCAACGAGTAGTCCTTAGAATCCAATCAATGGAGAAAAACGTCTTCCAATCTTATGACGGTTCAAATGGCTGATGATATTTCTATTCTACTATATTTTCTTTCAGGCATGTATCATGCTCAAGCCAGCAGCACAGCTACTCCCTCGTAAGGGCCAAGCGTAACCTTTCCGTTGCCAAAATCGTCCTTGGTCTTGCCCTTATATGTGACCAAGACTTCCTTAACATCTCTCGGGAGACCAGTCCACTCGATAGACTTTGGCGAAAAGTTGCAGGCCACCAGGGCGGTTGACCCGTCGTCGGCCTTGCGAGCGTACGCAAAGACCTGCTCGTGGGCCTCGTCGACAAGGTTGAAGTCGCCGTAGACAAAGATGTCCTTGAACTTCTTGCGAGTCTCCAGCACGTGGCGCCACGTGTGGTAGACGGAGTCGGGGTTCGACGTTTGCGAGGCGGCGTTGATTTCCTTGTGGTTGGGGTGGACGGCCATCCACGGCGTGGCCTCCGCGGTCGTGAAGCCGGCGTTGGCGCTCGTGTCCCACTGCATTGGTGTTCTCGCGTTGTCGCGGGACTTCTTCTGGTACTCGACCTTGTAGGCCTCGAGAGTCTTCTCGTCGTCAACGTCCTTGTGCAAGCTGTGGTCTGTTAGCCTTGCCGCTGGATAATCAGACGAATAAGGGGCATCGCAACACTCACTTCCAGTGATTCAGGCAGTCAATATCCTTGGACTCCTTCATGAAGAAGTTCTGGGGTACATTGACCATGCCGATCTCCTGTCCCTGGTAAACGAACGGCGTTCCGGCTTGGAGGCCTTGAAGCAGGGAGATCATCTTGGCGCTGTTCTCGCGATGCTCGGGCGCGTCGCTCGCGAAACGACTGACGGATCGAGGCTGGTCGTGGTTCTCGAGGTAAAGGGCGTTCCAGCCATTGTTGTTGTACATGAACCGCTGCCACTTGTCGACCAGGGTCTTGAACTCCGCAAGCTTCCACTCCTTGGGAGAGAACTTACCCTGCGGACCATGGTCGATGTCCATACTGCCACACGTTAACACCAGCTCCATAGAGGAGAAGAACCACAGCATTACTCACAACTCAAAGTGGAAAATCATGCTTAGCTCCTCCCGGTCCGCGTTGACGCTCTTGATGACCTCCTTCAGATCCCTGACGCAAGGCATCTCACCAACGCTGAATGCATCGTATTCCTTCAGAATGGCACCCAGCTCCTTCAGATACTCGTGCAACCTGGGCCCGGCAGAGTACAGCTCCGATCCGGGGAGCACCTCCTGGTCAGAGTCCGGGAAGTCCTGCGGCTTGCTGACGAAGTTGATGACATCCAAGCGGAACCCGTCGGCGCCCTTGTCCAGCCAGAAGCGCATGATGGCGTGCACCGCATCGCGGACCTTGGGGTTCTCCCAGTTGAGGTCGGGCTGCTCCCGCGCGAAAAGGCGCAGGTAGTACTCTCTCGTGGTCTCGTCCCACTCCCACGCACTGCCTTGGAAGTGCGACTTCCAGTTGTTGGGCGGCTGGCGGTTGCCGTTGGCGTCGTACTTTGCCGGGCGCCAGATGTACCAGTCGCGGTAAGGGTTCGTCTTGGAGGAGCGGGACTGCTTGAACCATTCGTGCTGGTCACTGGTGTGGTTGACGACGAGGTCGAGGACAAGCTTCATGCCACGGGCGTGCAAGGCATCCTTGAGCTCGTCGACGTCGGCAACGGTGCCGTAGGGGGCGTGGATTTCGCGATAGTTGCTAATGTCATAGCCCTGCCCGTTGTTAGTCTGAACGCCGCTCGCAAGCACCCGTTGAATTCAAACAGCCACTCGAGGATGCATTTGCATTACTCAAGACTGCGAGAACGAGATGAGGGGGTTCATACTGACCATGTCAATCTGCGGGCTCTCAAAGATGGGGCAGAGCCACACAATGTCAACACCCAAATTCTTGAAGTAGTCGACCTTTGAGATGATGCCTCTCAAGTCACCCACACCAGTGCCCTTGGAGTCGTTGAACGATGCTGGGTACACCTGGTAGACGGACTGCTCTTTCCACCATCTGCGGTACTTGTTGGGCTGGCCGCCGGCGCCGACGCCAGAGACCTCAACTTCGTGAGGAGCCATTGCGACTGATTGGTTTGTGACGCGGGTTCCGTGTAAGTTCGGTTGACTCGTAGATTCGTTCGGGCGAGAGTCGCGAGGAGTCGAGTAACAACCCCCAGGGCCGGAGAGTGAGAGAGACGAGAAGCAAGCTTTTCGTATAGTACCAAAAAATGCCGTGTTTGAAAAGAAAACCCAACGGTCTACGGATCTAGCTGATTGGAAGATTCGTCTGTTTGTAAAGCTTCAAAGCAACGTGTCGAGGCGAGAATTTCTGCGAATGGAAGCAGAACTAGCAGCCAATGGGGGCGCAAACTTTTGAGAGAAGGAAGATGGTTTGTACACCGTCAGGGCACAACACTCATGCGGACACGAGGCGGGACACGACGCAAACACGCTGTCTTTCTTGAGTCGACAGCTGGCTGCTGAGAGACTGAGAGAGAAGAGATCGGCGCCGTGCAGGGAAGTGGGAAATCAGCTGCAAGCTCTGCCGGTGGCTCCAGGTGGTGTTCCAGCTCTTGGAGTTTCCTTGGAAGGAAAGTTGGATCGTCGTGGGGAGTGGTTTGATGGTACCTGTTTAGCTGCGGGCGACAGCCGCCATTTCACGCGAGGAATTCTACCGATGGGGGAGCGGACCGACTCCGATCAGACCCCGAGTGCGAGTGCCCCGCCATGGTAGTGCTTCTTGTAAGTCGTCATGCGGGGTAATAACTTGGTGAGAGTGAGAGCGAGAGTGCTGCATAGTAAGAGACAGAGCTTGGTGGGGCAAAGCTGAGCATGGCATTTCCGTCTGCTGCGTCTTCTGCTGTGTCTTCTGCATGTCGTCTCTCACTCGCCTCCGTCATTGTGCTCTTTGCAATTCCCCAATCGCCCGTCTCGCTCTCGCCATTGAATCCGTCCACGATTCATGAAGGCCACCGCTGCTATTTCTGGCACCAACCGACCCGGCCGTGCCTCTTACCACGTGTAAACCTTCGAGATGTCCTGCATTGACACCATTACGTTGTTGTGTGTTGCAGGTTGACGGACAGCACGCCAGAGGCACCGAAATGCCCGTGTAACTTTCAGCACATTAGTGGACTGTCTCCGCCGTGTCCACCACACACTACCCGCCCATTAGTATAGGTCCACTGCAGCTTACCCGTTATCCTTTTTCCGAGAGTATCTCCGCATCGTCATGTGTCGGTGATGCATCCTCCGATGAGCCTCCGGACTCAGCTCCGGAAATCTGGTCATGAGAATGTTGATGTCGCACGAAACTGCCACGAGGAGCCATGAAGGGTCTCATCTCGTCTATCTCCGGGTTCCAGAGGTCATCAACTTTCATGTGGTCACCAAACTATTGCTCACATGGAGAAGCCTCGGTGATGTTCCACTATCGGATGTCCTCTTAGACAGAGGTCTCTGATCGAGGAGGTCCTTCACTTCCAGGCTACCCTCGTTTGCTGCCCTCGCCTTCACAGCTACTGGCAACACGGAAGGCCCAGATGCAAGAGACTAAGCTACCTCTGCAGTCACGGGCGCGGGCGAGGGACGGAGGTCGATCACGGTTGAAGGTATGGAGGTCTTCTCCGGCGCCGGAAGGAAAACCACACACGAGGGTGTCTATCGGTGCCGACTAAAGGCCGGACATGGCGGCCGGCGGAATCCATCGTCAACGCCGTCGCCGCCGCCTTCGGTAGAAAGGCTTGATGTTGGGAGAGATGGCGCTGCGAGAGGCTGAGTGCGGGTCACAACGACGGACAGCCGTCTTCGGCACGTTTCTCAGACACGATGATGCATTGGATCGTCCTGATCGACAAGAAATGTCTGAATCAGCCGTTGACGCAGATGTAAGCAAAATGCGTGGCGGGAACTCTGTAAACTATGCAAACAGACACGCCTGTTTCTGCGCCTCCGGTATGGCAATCATTGGAGGACTTGGGCATCCCACGCAACTTTTCCATCCATCGCCAACGATGCACCGGTAAACAATTGAATCTCCAGAGAACACAGCTACAAGGGGAGGGGAGCTCCCTTGTGTGCGTGTATGTGTGTGTGTGTGTGTGTGGAAACTTGCATGTGCTCCGCACGAAGGGTCCCCACGGCCCCTGCAACTGCACCGGCGAGCGCAGCATGAGCGACGAGGGCGTCCATTGGTCAATTCCGTGAGGTCTCGCCGTATGACGAGGTGGGGTTTGGCGGGGGGAGGGGTCAGCGACAGCTCCCCGAGAGTAACTCCGCGGCGCGGGGCACGATTTGGAGCTTTCATGTGCGAAAAATTGACCAAGACGAGAGAGCATTGTAAACAAAACTTCTGCATCGCTTTTCCCCTTCACAAAGACACAAAATTGCACGGCTGTGACGGAGTCGACGAATAGCTTTTCTGAGATACCCCCCTTTCAAACCGCGGAATCGAGGTCCACAGACACAATGGCTTGGGAAGAACCGAGAAAGACAGGCATGCAGTACCGCCGCCTGGGCAACTCTGGCCTTCATGTCTCGGTGCTTGGCTTGGGAGGCTGGCTGACGTACGTAAACCGCGCAGCCTCTGGTTGATAGCACTTGAGCGATCCAGGCTGACCGAGATGATGCGCGCAGGTTCGGCGGCCACGTTGAGAACGGTACGCGAGTGGCACACGGCGCGGAGGTTCTTGAGGGGTTGTCACTAACGGTCATCAGAGAAGACGTTTGCGTGCATGAAGCAGGCTTACGACCTCGGCGTCAACTTCTTCGATACGGCCGAGAGGTAAGCTCCGCGCGGCCGAGAGAGCGCAGTCTGTAGACTGATCCGATGGTTGCAGCTACGCTGGCGGAAACTCCGAGATTATCATGGGCCAGGCCATCAAGAAGTTCGACTGGAACCGTAACGATATTGTTGTGAGCACCAAGGTGAGTTGGACGTTGGGAATTTTACTCAACACGATCACAACGGCTAATTAGGCCTTTGTAGCTCAACTGGGGCGGCGCCAACGGCGAGGTGCTCATCAACAACCACGGTCTCTCTCGCAAGCACATCATCGAGGGTCTCCGAGCCTCTCTGAAGCGCCTCGATCTCGAGTATGTCGACATCGTATACGCCCACCGACCCGACCGTTTGACGCCCATGGAAGAGACGGTCCGCGCCTTCAACCATGTCATCGACAAGGGCTGGGCCATGTACTGGGGCACCTCTGAGTGGAGCGCCGACGAGATCGCCGAGGCTTGTGGCATTGCCAAGGACCTCAAGATGATTCCTCCTGTCGTCGAGCAGCCTCAGTACAACATCCTCGAGCGCCGCAAGGTCGAGTACGAGTTCCAGCGCCTGTACCAGCGCTTCGGCCTCGGCTTGACCACCTTCAGCCCCATCAAGATGGGCTTGCTAAGCGGCAAGTACAACGAGAGTCTGGACGCGCCGCCGGCGGGCAGCCGGTTTGCCGAAGGCAAGGGCGACAAGTTTGTCAATTGGGCCAACAAGGAGTGGTATGGCAACGACGAGTGGAAGTCCCTGATTCAGAACGTCGTCAAGCTCAAGGCAAGTCCCCACCGGCCACCCCGTGATTTTGGGATGGCATACTGACGGTGCGCGTCCAGGGTGTTGCGGAGAAGCTTGGTGCCACGCAGTCGCAACTGGCCCTTGCGTGGTGCTTGAAGAACCCGAACGTTACTTCTGTGATTACGGGCGCTTCAAGACCCGAGCAGATTGTCGAGAACGTGGGTGCTCTGAAGGTTCTGGAGAAACTGACACCGGAGATCATGGCGGAGGTTGATGCCGTCGTGGGCGAGGTCAAGCTCGACCCGGCCAGACAAGATTAGATTATGGCGTGTTTGCGGCGAGCGCTGGTTCTGTAGATCTATTTGGGTGGCGTAGTACATGGCACGGCATTTTTGGGAAGAAAGGAACAACAGGTCAGGCATAGGGATACAACGGGCTTTCCAACAGATCCATGCATATCCGTGTTGAGGACCCCGTATTGTTGGATGAGACTCGCTCGATTACTCGCTGACCGCCGTTTCAAGCTGCTCTGGTTGGTAGACATTTCAGAGGAACTGGCTTCTGGAAGCCGTGACGACAGGCCCCGAGTCAAAATGGATGCGGCCACCCCGGTTTGACGCGGCCAAACGATGTGCCGTCTGCGCCATTGCTCGTGCCCTGCTGAAGGATGGTGCTCGCACGTCGAGGTTGCGTATGAGACGGACGGGAGTGTACTCCGAAGGCGAAGTTGTCCAGACCAGATTCAGGACGAATACGGTATTGGATGCTTCAGAGAGAATCCGACTGGCGCAAACCCTTGTGCAGCCATCTTGACTCGCTTGTGAACGTACTTTGTAGATCTCCAGGGACCATGTAGGGATAGTGCAACGCGTTCCTGGGCCGGTGCTCCTATGTGTAGATGAAACTTGACGAAGGGCGCTGGGAATGGTGTCCCGCGGAGTCACGGCGCCGTTCGGGAGTCAACAATGCCAGTGGTTTGGTTGTGGTCTAGACTCAAGAAGGTTGTCGATCTTCTTGTCTTAGTTGCACATCGCGAATCGTCAGGTGTCTTTTGAGGCATATTCCGGGGATGACAAGTAACAACCCACAAGAAGTCGGCCGTTTTTACCTTTAAGGTCTGTCAGCGAACGCTCCATGGCGGGGGGAGTCCATGATTTACCACGTGTCGACAACGTCCATGCAGCCTGTTGACATCCATCTGTCTACCTTAGTCAAAGAGGCCCTCGGACGAGGAGGAGCGCTTATCGCTGTCCATGATCGCTTTAATCATGTTTGCCGCAATCAGGAGAGCGCACAGCCGCGATGATACCTCGGGAGCGAACCCGTTGACTCACATGAATACACCCGCGAGTGAACATGTCCCGCAGAGACAGCGTGTGCTTTCTGTTGGTAGCAAACCTGGGGTCCCGTCCGTCTCAGAGGCCAAGAAGCGAATGGGGTGGTTGGACGCGGGCCATTCCTCAGAGACAGAGTATGGGGTACGGGTAGTTGGTGTGTGTGGTAACGTAGGAACGGTACGCTGTAGTGCTTGCATGGATGGGCGGGCTTGGGAAGGCTGCATGGCATGGCT